AGTGACTCCATCTAGCCACCTCATCCTCTGCCGTCCCCTTCTTCTTTTGCCATCTATTGTTCCCAACATTAGGCTCTTCTCCAGGGAGTCCTTCCTTCTCATTAGGTGGCCAAAGTATTAGAGTTTCATTTTCAGGATCTGGCCTTCTAAAGAGCAGTCAGGGTTGATCTCCTCTAGGACTGACCGGTTTGATTGCCTTGCTGTCCAAGGGACTCGCAGGAGTCTCCTCCAGCACCACAGGTCAAAGGCCTCAATTCTTCGGTGCTCAGCCTTCCTTATGGTCCAACTTTCACAGCCATACATTGCAACTGGGAAAACCATAGCCTTGACTATACACACTTCTGTCGGCAGGGTAATGTCTCTGCTTTTTAGTATGCTGTCTAGATTTGCCATAATGGCTCTTTAGTTAATGCCAACTCTATCCATAATTGAATAAAAGAGTGAATATTTTGTCATATCATAGATCTTTATATTTTAAAGTCATGGGAACTTTTATTGTTTGATTTGAACTTCAGTAAAGAACAGTTAGTAATACTCTGTTTAATTCAGTCTTGCAAACAACTACATCATGTGTCCCCAAACTGTCCTCTTTATCCATATTACTGCATTGCTTTCTAGCAGGGAAAACAGCTGTGCATTTTAACTCTTCTGTCCCAAGAAGATCAGAAGGGAAGGAGAATAAGCAGTCATTGTAATATTCTGCTGTTTCTCTTGCTAGAAAAATAATTTTACTTTAAAGGGTTTGGAAAGAGGAACAGCAGAGAAGATAAAGCAGTGGCAGGGGTGTGGTTGAAGTAGTTGCTACTTGTCTGCTCCCCTGGAAGCAATTGCTGCCTACTCTGAGTAAGTAGAAAATTGTTTGTCTTATTAGGCAAGAAAGCTCATACTTAAAACCGTAGGGATTCTGCAGGAGTGAAGGGCAGCATTTATTTTAGCCAAAATGGTGTTGTGAGCAGCCCCAACATTTCATTTCAAATTCTTCTGTGGACATGTTTGGCTTCTGGCAGCAATATGCTTATAATATAGCAGCATCAAAAAAGGATGTTTTATGTTTTGTAAAAAGACTGTGAATGGCCTCATACGCCACTCTTTTGCAAATCACATCCACAATTCATCTTGGCTTCTGACAGGTCCATCCAGTTCTCAGATCAAGAAGAGTAATCAGGCAATATCCATGGGAAGTCACCAGTTCATAGTGTAAGCTAGTTCCATTGGAATATGCTGAATTTCTTTAAATAATAAGATGCAAAAACACCAGGAAGTGGTTTTGGGTTTTTTGGGGGTGGGGGTCACCATCCTTTTTCCAATATCCATGCCTAGAAAGGGTGTAAAGGATAGCAATAGGAACGCAAGATATGTTTGTTATTCTATGCACATAGGATTCTTCCTTCAATTTCCAGTATTCTTTTTAGCATAGACATCTAAAAGCAAACTGTACAATTAGAAACTTGATTTTGGGGGCAGGCTAAGAGGATTTTGATCACTAGATCTGGGCCTTTTTTGCTTTGTAATTTCATTGGAATTTCTCTAAACGCCACTATGATTTTTAGATTGTAGTTGTAATAGATCCTAAAAGTCAAAGACTAATCTGTCTGGTCTTAGTATAGAATTACTGTTTATAACCAGAGCTAACAATTTGGTGCATTTAAATAGGAGAAAACAGATACAGAGCTTATTAACTGGTTCCATACAACATGGCAATCCACCCTAACTAGCCACTGTGGGTTGACATGTCATTGAACCCAAACCAGTTTTTCACAGGGTGGTTTGTTTTGGAACAAGAGGCCACCCTGACAACACATGGCTTGTTCTAGGGGTTGTAGACCTCATAATGGTGGGCATGTTGTCCAAACCTGGGAGACAGGTTTCACTGTAGTATATGGCAAGAAAACTGCTCAGCAGGAGCAGCCAAAAAAAAAAGCCTTGCAACTCTTGGTGAGTTCAGCCATGCCACCACCACTGTTAGCCAGAAAAATCCCAAGTCACAGGTGAGCCGCCTTTTTGAGAGAAGGAACAAGTGTGGTTGAATGTCTTCCTAACTCAGGCATTTGGAGTTATTCATATTTCAACTGCCCAATAGCCAAAGCTCTCTGGATAGGTTTCAACAGCACATAAAGTACAGAAAGTGACGAGTGCACACTTACAGCTGTTAAACATATATGTAGCTTTGCCTGGAGACCAAGATCATTCACTTTATTGTATTCCCAATTATTATGTATGGGTGTGAAAGCCTGACAGTGAAAAAAGCTGACAGGAAGAAAACTGATGGATTTGAAACATAGTGCTGGAGGAGAGCTTTGCAAATATTCTGGACCAACAGAAAGACAAACAAATGGGTCCTAGATCAAATCAAGCCAGAGCTTTCCCTAGAAGCAAAAATGACAAAATGAGGCTGTCATACTTTGGACACATCATGAGAAGTCAAGACTCACCAGAGAAAACAAACAGGCAGTTTGTTAGGGGAAGTCAAAGGCAGAAGTCGAAAGGGAAGATCAAATAAGAGATGGATGGACTCCATACAGGAAGCCACAGCCTTGAATTTAGAACAATTACACAGGAATGTCATGGATAAGACCTTTCATTCATAAGGTCACCAGAAGTCAAAGACAACTTGATGGCACATAACAACAACAGTTTTGCCTGGTCTCTTTGTCAGTTACAGTTGTCAAGTGGTAGCAGACAATAAGGTAAGACTACATATAGGCTATTTTGCAAATAGTTGACAACTGTAAGTTGTGTAGCTTTCTCTCCTGACAAACAGGAAGGAAACTGGAGATCCATACTTCCAATTGGGGTGGGCTGAAGATCTCCCCCTTAGCCAGATAATCCTCTGAGTCTGGGCTTTAGGAGCTGCATTGACTCTTCTCAGTGCCCTTCAATTTTTGGACTTTTCCCAAGTCTCCATCTTGTCCAGAAGGAGGAGCTAAGGCCATCCCCTTTTGCAACTCCTTCTCAGAGTCATTACTGCTGTCAAAAAGCCCTGAGGAAAGTAGCTGGATAGGGCTGAGTAAATGGGACCACATGGGGGGGGGGCACCCCATTCATTCTGTTTTGTTCTGCAGCCTCTAAGGTGTTAATTGTGTTTGCTTTTAAGTGTCTTGGAAATGCATACAGTAGGACTTCCATATCCACAGGGGATAGGTTCCAAGCCCCAGCAGATCTCTGAAACTGCAGATAATAGGGAACACTATATACTGAATGTGCTGTACATCCCTATGATAAATTTTAATTTATAAATTATTACACTAAATAAGGGCTACTTAAACACAAGCTTTGCAATACCATGAGAGTCGATTTGGTAACTGAGATGGCTACCAAGTGACTAACTCTGGGAAGAAATACTAACAAAAGTGGGGTTGCGATTGAAGCAGGGAGGGGGAGACAAGATGGATTCTGCTGTATAGGACCCTGGGATGTGATCTGAAGGATCCAGATGGTGAAAGGATGGGGAGAATAACTCACAAAACATTTGATCATCTGTCAGATAAGCCATGGGTTATTCTGAGAACATGCTACCAATTGGCAGGGTGGGCTGCCTTGTCAGGTGGTCTTGCCTAATGATTTTCAGTTGGCATAAAGTAAATATAAAAAAGAATTTTCACTTTGTAGTTTAGTTTCAGGAAATGAAACCTTGGGTAGTGAATCTGGTCAGGGCAGTATATAAACTAGCCTTATCGGACATGGTACTCTCCAGAGGCATTGAACTGCAATTCACATCATGTTCATCTAATATGGCCATTGAGTCCTTGCTATTGTTTGTGCAGTTCCAAAGTATTTTCTGTTCATCCTCTCTTCAGTCAGTGCAATCACAACTGTTTGCTTAAATCTTTTGACTATTTCACATCAGATACTTAAAAACAAAGATTCTGCAATACATTTTAATGCCATGTTTTAAAATATAAGATTGAATGAAGCCTGACTAGTATGCTATTATGCCATCAGTATGCCTTGGTGGGGGTTTTGGGGAGCTTGGAAACTTGAGTTTTATTAGAATGGAATTTGTGATACTGTATTAGTTTGTGAATGGCTTGTTAGACTGAAACATGAATTTCATCTTGAGATTCTTTTTCTCATGGAACCATGATAAAGTTCACACATTGTTCTTGTGTTCTGTCAGATCTGCTTCACAAAAATGTAACAATTTATTTATTTAAAACTTTTATATCCCATCCTGTACCAATGTCTCGGGACGGTCTTACAAAAAAGCAGAATAGAGCACAGCATCCAAATAATTTCTTATTCAATAAAGCCCACAATTAAAATCATAGTCAAGCCTTAAAATAATGGGAAAATAAAAAGGTCTTAGGCAGGTACCGAAAAGAATGAAGTGTTGGCGCCAGGTGAACCTCTCTGGGGAACGCATTCAATAAACCAGGGCACCACTGCAGAGAAGGCCCTTCTCCGGGTAGCCAATCTCCTAATCTCCTTCAGTGAAGGCTCCCGAAGAAGGGCCTCTGCCCCAGATCTTAAGGGGCAGGTAGATACATAGGGAAGGAGATGCTCCTTCAGATATCTAGGTCCTATTTACTTTTTTCTGCCTTCTTTGTTTACCTTCTCTCCTGTTTGCTTCTTTCACCCCTTCATACAGGTGTGTAAAATGAGTGAAGGTTAGGGTAGACAAGAAAACTTACCTTAAAATTGAACTCCCAGTTAGATCTTTGCTTTTACCAGCTTGAGCTCAGCCTTTGCACAACTTTTCCTATGAATTGATTTTTCCTAAACTGGATGATAAAGAGCTCTATCTCATGTTTCAAACTAATATCTCTCTTCCTGGAATTCAGTTGTATTCTAAGTTGAAGCTGCACATTCAGGAAATAAAGTAAATATTTTTAAAATGTAATCTAAGAAAATACTGAAAATCCTTCATTAAAAATATATTTACAGTTGTTTACAGTACTTAACAGTTACTGTTCTTTACAGCTTAAATGTGTGTGCTTAGTAATAATGCACACTTGGTATCTGTATCCATTCAGGTATTTATATAACTTTTCATTTCTTAGGAATTTGGGTAAAAATGGCCTATCTAACAGTAGCATTTTACTGGATAAATGCCCTCCTCCAAAACCACCACCACCTCCATATCCTCCCCTGCCAAAGGACAAATTGAATCCACCAACACCTAGTATTTATGTAAGTATCATTTCGCTGTTGGAAGAAATGGGTTGATGCCTTTTGAAAGCAAAGGGCAACTTTTATATGCTGAACATACTTTTGTACAGATACTCTGGCTGTGATACCTAAAGCCCTTTAGGCTTATGCAGAGGCCTAGTAGGCTTCAGATATTTTTCACAAAGCAGTCTGCCTTCTACTGTTTTCCCAGTGCTGCATTTTAAACAGTGGTTTATCCAACACACAGAAGGGATGGTAGCCCTGCTATGCAAGAAGATCTTGTTGCACATCTTTCCGGATCATGACCGCTATTCATAGAGGATTTGAATGCCTCCTTGACAAGTCACCTGAAGAAATTGTTTAAAATGAGCATCACATTTTATGTGTCATATCTTGTAATATGAGTTTCTTGGTTTCTCTCCCTGTGTGGATATTTCAGTGTCAGACTTGCCATATCCTACATATCCCTGTAACTTTCTAAGTGCAGTAATGTTTTTAAATATCAGAAAAGCCACAGAATGAGAGAACGGACATAGCAAATTGTTGCCTGATTGTAGCTTCTAAATGAATTGCAGAACTCTTGGTTAGACCACAGCAACACTATCAGCATCCATCCTTAAGTATATCTGATAATCCTTGAAAATGCTACTTTTCAAACTCTGACTAGGTGAATGTTATATCCATGTCATACAGTGGTATCTGTAACCAGAAATACTGTGATAATGACTGAGGAACCAGTCCAGGTCTGTATTCTGTTAACTTGAAATAATTCTGAAATTTAAGTTGCCATATTCTTATATTCCTTTTTATTTTTGTAGTTGGAAAATAAGCGTGATGCTTTCTTCCCACCCTTACATCAATTTTGTACAAATCCGAACAATCCTGTTACTGTAATACGTGGCCTTGCTGGAGCTCTTAAGTTAGGTAAGTTTGCGCTACAAAACTTAACTTTGTATATTTAGATCTTTTCTATAAAATATACTGTTTTAAGATAGGATAGTTTTAACATAAGAGAATTGGAACTGATGATGATTTTTTTGTAAATTCACATGCCTTTTTAATTTTAAAATAAATATTTTTTTTCAAAATTCCCAACCCAGAAATTCCTAATTCATCTCTAACAAGCATGTAGCACCCAAGTTTAATCTTAAAACTACAGTTGCAATCTAGATTTCTCTAATGTTGCCTTTTATATGACATATATTGAAAACAAAACACTGTTGCTTGGGAGAGGTTAGGTAAGTAACTTTGAGTCCCCCCCCCCCCAAAGAAATCCCACCTTTAATGGAAATTTGTCTTAACATTTTCTGCAAACCTGAATGTCTACATACCTCTTAAAACAGCTTTTGCTTCAGTTGAGAAATATTTGCTTGTTTGGTCAATGTATTTATATGAAAATTGCTGGTGTCCTCTTTCCTTTTGGACTGCCTGTTCATTGATCTCATGCTGTTCCTGTAGTAGCAATGCATGTAAAAGAGCTGTTACTTCATTAAGTATATTGCTGTTCCCTAGATCTAGGACTCTTCTCTACCAAAACATTGGTAGAAGCTAATAATGAACACTTAGTAGAAGTGAGGACACAGCTGTTGCAGCCATCAGATGAAAACTGGGACCCCACTGGAACAAAGAAAATATGGCGTTGTGAAAGCAGTAAATCTCAAACTACAATTGCTAAATATGCACAATACCAGGCCTCCTCATTCCAAGAATCATTAAGGGTAAGTTGACCATTATAATTCCTTTACTGATTAAGTCATACTAACTTTCTTGTTTTTATTTATTGAGCAGATATGCCTATGTAAGAAAACTCCAAAGGCAAAGGATTTTGAACTTCATGAAAGCACTGCTATTAACATTTTAAATAATGAAATACTTGGATTTTCAATAACTTAATGAATGTTAAGATCAGGAACAGATAATCATTTTTTTCTTGTGAAAAAAGCATTCTTGTTTGGCCTATTTTATTTTTTAAAGAATGCTGATCTTCACTCGAGTTAATAGATATAGAAGGAAAACCCTGCATTCTTCTGCTAATTAGCTACTGCATACTGTTTGTCTTTATGTAGTTATTACAGTATTTGAAGCCTCTCTAAAGTATTTACCATATTAAAACAAAATGCCCCATGGTGAAACTTTTTCTTCCTTTAAAAAATTGCCAGCTTGTTTGGTACTTTAGTACAATACATGTGCACTTTATTCTAAGTACTAATAGGTAACCTAGTCTTGGAACATGAATTCTCTTGAGGTATATAAATCCAGCGCTATGAGAGGGGTGAGATATCTTTGAGATAAAGAGGAAGAAACATCCTCTGTTTGATACAAAATGCAATGGAACTTCATTTGTTTCAGTGGGAAGGGAGAAGGTATTAGACTACTGCCTACATTAGAAAAACAAGGGCAGGGGAAGGAATACAAAATAAAAGACATTGTATCATTAAATCACAAATACCTACTAGAATAAAATAGTTTGAGGTTGCAAATGGAAGAAAGAAAGGCCTTGTGGGTTGTGATTGATGCAAAAAGTGGTAATAGAAAGACAAGTGAAAGTTGGGCTTGGTTGATGGGTGGGTACATTCAGCTGAGAACTTAACAATACTTGGTTGGGCTGAAGAGGAACACAACTTGAATTTTTCTAGATTGCCCATGATGATGGGGCAAATGATATATTCACTGGAGATTTCCAGCTGCTGGTTGGAGAATGGAGCTAGCGTTATATTTTCCCAAATCATTCCAATGCTGTTGGAGGCTACCAGAAGCATTAAGACTGTCTGATTCTGAGGGCTGAAAGCTAAACAAGAAAGATAAGAGAATGGACAAAATCACAGGGGAGTGCAATGACTGATCCCTAGAAGGGATTGCACTCCTCCTGGGAGACAGTGTATGCAGTTTGGAAGTTTTTCTGGACTTAGAAGGAAGTGGGGGATGCTTGGGATGGTGATGACCAGGAATGTTTTTTACCAGCTTAAGCTGGGATATCAACTGCAATCCTTCCTGGAGAAGAGAGTCCTTTCATCAATTACCCATGCCCTAATGGCATCCAGCCTGGATTACTATGATGTGAATTACATAGAATTTCCTTTAAAGTTGGTTCAGAAATTGAAGTTGCTTATTAGTAAGTGATAAGTAGCCAGATTGTGTTGTACCTATTGTACTTGTTGCATTGGTTTGTTGTTGTTTAAAGTGTTTGACTGCTGGCTACTTGAATGATTGAACCCATACCAGCTTGCTGACACTCTGAAATCAGCATCAGAGGCCCTACTTCAGTGCCCTCCTGTAAGAGCAATTAGGGTGTCAGGCACCTTCACGGTAGCAGTCTTCTACTACGGGAACCTTGTTCTAGTTGATGTCTATCAATTCCCATTGTATACAGGCCTTCAGGGAGTTCAAAAGACTGGTTGAATTAGGATTTTGGGGGGGGGGGGATTGTGTATATGGTACTTGCTGGTTGTGAAATTTGATTTTATCATTGGTTTCTTTATTCTAATTACATCTTGTGCTTTTAAGTGTTTTTATCACTGCCTTGGAAGTGTTTAGCTTAAAAGATGGCTTCCATGTGTTTTAAATACATTAATATGCACAAGGAGGGAATGATAAAATTTATTTTTCAATCAGTTTTATTCTCACATAAATGACTGTTTGAAATTAGTTCTATTAATTAATCTTAATTAACTACAGTTGCAATACTATGGTCCCTTGGAAGATAGATTAGTACTCCTCCTTTGAGGAAAAGATTCTGCCATTGGAGGGAGAGATCTGACCTCAGCTGCCACTGAAGCCCTTATGAAAACTTTTGAGGCCCTTGCAGGTCTGACTTGGTATAGCAAAACTGATGGTGGATCAGGAAGGGGGTGTTGTGGGCTTCTCAGGAAGATGTGAAGCCCTCCCAGCCCCAGTCCCCAGGCATGCTTCTGACAACTCAGGAAATGTATGCCAGCCCTGAAACTGATGCACATAATTCCCCTCACATTCTTTGTGATTGGAGGAAAATCATTCAATTAAAAATGGAGCACAAAGGAAAGAAGGAAAATCCTTTTCCTCTCCCTCAGCATGAGACTGTCAATGCTTTGAATGAGGTCTGCCTATGCATCTCTCTACTGCAATTCAGTAGTATTGATCTACAAGCTGTATTCTAGAATGAAAATCAAGTAAAAATACTACAGTCCTGTGGACACAGAGGTGTGCCTTATAATTAGTATATCTTGCTATATGGATAGACTTCTTAACAATACTTTGTAATATTAGATATGTGTATGCCTTTTAGAGGGAAATGTGGAATCTGATGAGGGTTGCATATGGCATCTTTGAGAAGATCGTCTATGACCAGACTCTTCAGTTATATCTATTCCTTGGGATATTTAAGAATTATGTAAGGTAACTTTTCCTGTGTAGTGTGCTTATTTTTGTGGTCAGAAGAGAGTGACTAGTTGCATTTCTACAGAGGACATTTCCATGCTTATATGCTAAAATATTGCTGGTCATTTCATACTTCATATATAGCACATATATGCCATTTATGATTAAAAAACATATTTGACTTCTACAGGAGGAAAACGAGAAAAAAAGTCACCATAAGGACCATTCAGATAGCGAATCAACATCTTCTGATAAGTGAGTAGATAGAATGTAAATACATGGTTTTAAGAATATTTGTGCATGAAATTTGCTCTTTGCAGTCCTAGATCTTCTCCTTTCTGCCTGCCCTTCCAGTCTTCCCTAGTGCTTCCCCATCTAAAGAAGTATTCCATTTCAATTCTGTTTTTTTTTTTCTATTGTGGAGTTTTGGTGATTGATGCTGTTTCCCTTTCCTACCAAAATCAAGCCTGCTTCACACTCTCTCCCAACAGTGTGAGAGCTGATTCTTCTTGATGCATGCCATATCAGTTGCTCAATTGCACAGTGCAGTTGACTGAGTGAGTTTTTTCATGTGGGACTAGATCTATGTTACCAACTGCATTAATGTGCACCTAGATATGGAGAGATCAGTCTGTTTTACAGAGGAGCAGCTCAAATAGACAGTTTATTTTTACCTGAAACCTTAGCTAATAAAGAGAGCTTCCTGGAAAAATACGTTATGTACAGGAAAGGCAATTTCTTGCCTTAAGACTTAGTATTTGGAGGTTTCCAACCAAATGAGTTCCCAAAGCTATGTTGTTGGTGTTGCCGTATACCTCAACTATTAAGACAAAATTGCTGCAGGATCCAGAGGTCTTGATAGTAATAAATAGAAAGACATTAAAAATGACTACTTCCATTTTTTCCTTAGTGATTTTTCCTACAGATCCACATTATCATTACTTTAATTTGATGTCTCATTGGTTTCTCCATGACCATGTAAGCAGTGTAACAAAAAATTCAAAGCTGTCTCTGACTTCTCATAATAAGTCATGAGTTGGCATTTCTTAAGGTTCACAAACAGACTTTGTTGAACCCTTGGAGAGTATTTGATAATTGGGCAGTTAGAGCACTATAAATCAGGTACGGGCAGGTCATGTCCACCTTATCTTCCCCTCATGCTACAGCTCTTGCTGCCCCCTTCCTAAATAAAAAGTAACTAAAGAAATTGCATGTTATAAAGAGACTTGCCATATTGCTGTTAATGATGTTTTTGTATGGTTTTGTATAGCTTTGTTTTTGTTGTAAGCCGCCCCGAGGATTTGTTGCGATGGGGGCGGCATAGAAATGTTTTAAATAAATAAATAAATAAATAAGCAAGCAAGCAAGCTGACATGTGGGATTGATAAGTAAGGATGATTTTAATGATATATGGGATTTGTTTATTGAACATTTATTAATAAAAGGGAAGGGTATTAAACCTTTGGTTGATTCAGTGCAATTTTGGATGGAAGGGGTATTCCTGAAACAGCAGGAAGATAAAAGTAAGGAAGAAGGAAGGAAGGAATACATAGCCATAGTTCCAATGGAGGGGTGCACTAGTTGTTTTTATATATAGCTTATTGTTGTATTTTGTGTTTTTCCTTTATTTTTATTATGCATTTTATATTTGTATTATTGTTTTGTAATAGTTAATAAAATTTTAAACAAGAAAAAGGTACCTGAAGAAATTGGATACCCAAACTACTAAACAAGCTAAATTTAACAATAGTGGTAGTACAGAGTTATTCCCCCCCCCCCCCCCCGGGGACTCTTATGGGGGAAATGGGGACAAAAATAGCCCCTCGATCTCCTAAACATGTTGACTTTTGTAGATAACTAAAAATTCTAGAATTCATATTGTCTTCTTTAAAACTAGTTAAAATTTATAACTGTACAAAATTTATAACTATACCAAACCTCAAAAAACTTGTTAATGTCCATCTCTTATTTGTATCTTTTATTTTACAGTTCTGGTAGGAGAAAAAAAGGACCTTTTAAAACTATCAAATTTGGGACCAACATTGATCTTTCAGATGATAAAAAGTAAGTAAAGATACATATGTATACTTGCCATAAAAGGCTAGTGTTTCTTACCACATCAAAATATGAATTATTTTAATTGAATTGCTAAATCTGATTTTACTAAACTGTATTACTTTATCAATAAGATTTGATTTGATTATCAAGTATTGAGTAATTTAGCTGGAGGTATGGTTGTTGACTATCAGACTAGGTAAACCCAGGTGTGAGAATATGCTGTATTATTTTGCTTGTTCAGCCATGTAGTAACAAGAAAAAAACACCTGGATTTTTCTACTTCATTTTCAAGGGTAATCCATTCAGTCTGCTTTATTAAGCAGATGTACTCAGATTAAATCCCGCACACACACCTCTTACTTTCAAAAGCTGAACTGTCAAACTCCTTTTCCAGTAAAAAGGTCAGGAGAGCAGTTTGACTCTGCTGAGCCTACAGAGGGTCAGGACATGGGGAAAAGGTTTCTCCCCCATGGAGACCAAGGGAGAAAACATAAAAGAGGAGGGTCATGCTGGTAAAGGGATTTCACTTGCCGAAACAAAGAACCCCAGCTGCTGCTTGGCAAATGGTCCCCTTGCATGTTTGCTTTCAATGGGTGGCTCACCTACAAGTGGGAGGGGAAAGGATTTCCAGGGAGCCATCTCTGACAGCCATCCCCAAGTGTGGGTTAAGCATTTTGTGGTAGGTGGCAATGGCAGTCACCAGGCAGCTTCTTGGACAAAGGGCCAAGGGTGTTTTGCTTTTCTTGCCAAAGGGCTCACTGACTGTTGGATCTCACCCACATAGAGACATGGTATCTGGATTCAGATAACACAAAGTCATCCATGAGTGGCAGCAAGCCTTGAACAGCCCATGAGCACTGCAGAGTGGCTTGTTTAGGGGCAAAAAGCCACCCTTAGTGAAGCAGCCCCTTTTCACAGAACACAACAACCTGCCTATAATAACAAACCATGGTGGATTGTCTTGTCTGAATCAGGTCAGACAAGGTAAGCCACTTTCAGGGGAAATGTGCAGTGGCGATTCAAGCATTTCCCTAAGAGGCCTGGTAACAAGCTAACTCTCCATTTGCACATGGATCTAGGCCTGCTTCAGCTGCATGCAAACCTGAACACATTTGGATAGCTTTCTTTGCCTACTCACAGCATACCTTTATGGCTATCTTCTACACACCCCTCTGCCTACAAGATCAGATTATCAGAATGGATGCTTGGAGTTGTGAGAAGTGAACTGATTCATTGAACTCAGACCTCACACTCAGCCCTGGAAGCCTAACATGCAGTGACGGTGCCTTGTACACCAGCAGAATCAAAGGATTTGTGCATGCCTAGAAAGATTTTGACTACTTTTTCTTATTCCATTTTTAAAGGTTTCCTCAGTTTCCAAAAAAGTTTGCTATAAAATCTGGGGAAGGGGATGTATCTAGAAACAAACCTCAAAAGCTCACTTGGGCACTTGAAAGTAAGGTTGTTCTTTGGATTTCAGATTATAAAGTGAAATTTTCACTGAATTTCCAATGCATGTGAGGCATACCTTCAGATGAGAGCCATTCCACCTCCATTTCTCTTCTGGCAGGTGTGATTCTGCACAAAACTACTCCTTAGAACAATTGATTCTGAATTGGTCTTCCAGTATTATCCAGTCAGGTTTCCACATATTAGGTCCCAGATCAGTGAAGGATGATAGTTATGCTCACATCTAATCTGACATAACCAGCAAGACAATTCCTAGGCCCTGCTGAACTCAGCTCCACCACCTATGAGGCTGGGAGGAAGTCTCAGGGAGGAATCCAAGTTCAGATGCACAAAGGGGCCTGCCTTTAGCGCATTGTTAGGCAACCTTGTCCCTTCCAGATGTTTTGGACTACAACTCCCATGAACTCTCAACACAAGCTATGCTGGCTGAGGCTTATAGGGCTTAAAGGCTTGCTCCCTCCAGTACCATTATTCCAGTTAGGATCAGTTCTGCTCAATGCACACAAAGTTTCAATTCAGATTTTAACTGTGTGGAGTAAGTACACATTTTAAAATGTTCTATAAGGTATGTAATTGTGTTTTACTTCCAGAATATCACATGAATAAGTTAGTTTGCTGTTTCACAACAGGTGGAAGCTGCAACTCCATGAACTTACAAAGCTTCCTGCTTTTGTGCGTGTAGTGTCAGCAGGAAATCTTCTTAGTCATGTTGGTCATACAGTCTTGGGAATGAATACAGTCCAGTTGTATATGAAGGTACCAGGCAGCAGAACACCAGGTAAGTAAAGTGGAGTGCCTATATTATGCTACATACTGACAAAAGGGTATGAATTTCTCAATACTCTTGCTTTGACTTTGCTTATCAACAATAATTATAGATTTTAAGCCCTATAGAAGAAGAGTTACCTACTCATTCTTTGTAAAGTACACATCAGTGATGCTATATGAAGAGTAGTAATAAAACATAGGAAATACAGCAACTTTAGCTAAGCTAGAACAAATAGAATCTTAAAACTGAAGTTTGAATTTTAAAGATTGTTTTTGAAAGTGTGTCTTTCAGAATGTTTTTGTCAAATAGTAAGCAAATATATAGTAACATACTCTCCATAATTTTTATGAATTCTGTAAAGTGAAACAATATTTTACACTTGTGTTTCCTATAACTGCAATTCCCATCAGAACTATTTTTAAAAATCATACATCTTAATTAGGAATAGGTTACTGATAATACAATTTTAGACTTATGCCTCCTTATTGAATCATTTTCAGATCGCTCAAGCAAGAAATCATCAGTTCATGATACGTGGCATTATTCTTATTATAAGATGTCTTATAGATTCGTTTTTACATAGAGTTGATGAATTAGATAAGCTAGAACTTGCTGAAATAGTATTATAAGCATGTTAGAATTGGACCCCTCTGAGTTTTATCCCCTCTTGTCTCTTCTTGAAGATGATAACATTGTGACAACTCAACACCAGCTTTTCCTATTTGAAACTAATATCCTTTTCAGTCTGGCTTCTGACCTTGTTCTGGGATTTAAAATGCCTTTGGCTTGGTCATTGTAATCATTATTGTTGTAATTTATTTTCTGTTTGCTTGCTTGCTTGAATATAGGTGATATAAAAGATGGAATATTAAGCTATTTAAATATTGTTAAATAAATGCTATTAAATTACTATTTGAACGAAAAAAACAAAGTTTGCTAGAGCACTTTGAGGATGAGCATGGAACATGAAGTAGCTTTTTGTCACTAAAAATTGTTCATTTTTAAGGTGCTACATGATTCAGTTATTTTTCTTTGTATATAGTGCTCCATACTTTTTAGTGCCTTGCAAACATCACTGTTACTGTTTCGTTTTTCTTATTAATTTCAGGTCATCAAGAAAATAACAACTTTTGCTCAGTCAATATAAACATAGGTCCAGGTGACTGTGAATGGTTTGTTGTTCCAGAAAATTATTGGGGTGTCATGAATGACTTCTGTGAAAAGTACGTTCACTGTTTACACCCCTGTATTCTGTTGCTTGTTATATTACAACCTCACTCTGCCTCTAAAACAGTGTAATTTATGATGTTTAAGAAAATATGTTTGTCATTTTCTGTTTTTTTTCTTACTATATTTCTTTCATATCTCTTCTCTACCACCTTTACATGCATTCTAGTCTAACAGGAGTATTAATGTAAATGTGTGTTGTTAATGTAGCTGGAAACTAAAGAATCAATGTAACTTGTTCTGCTGACCCAAGAGACTTTGAAATTTGGGTTTAACAGGAGCTTTCCATGCTCCATAGTAAGCCTTAGAATGGAGGGATTATAACTAATATGGCAAGGGGATCTGCTGTTCAAAGAAAGAGAGGCAAAATTCCTGTTGGTGTGTGCAAGCACTTGGGCATTACCTAAACTTTAGCTTTTGGAACGCTCATCAGTAGTTGTAAATTGGCTTGTGCTGTCATGAAGAAGAGTTAGGGAGTATGTAGTAATCATGGCTACAGTCCACAAAAGTTCCACACTGAAGCAGTGTGAGTCTATATTACCCTATTTTCTTTGCCAGCCAAAGCTTAGGCATACCTGGTTGTAGAATTCAAGCAATAGCAACTGATGCTGCAGCAACTCTTTGGACTACTTGCAACAGCTTGTGACCAGGCAACAGGGATTCCATGAGTCTGACATCTTGCCAGTGATTACTGCTACTTACTCTCCTTAGTCACAGCATTAGTAGTTGCATAGCTGCTGGACTCTGTGGTCCAGATATCCCTGGATTACCTAGGATTGACAGAGATGGAATTTATTCAAAAAGAAACTGGATGGCCATCTGAGTGGGATGATATAAATTGATGTCCTGAAACAGCAGGGAGTTGGACCCAATGGCCTTCATGGCCCCTTCCAACTCTACTATTCTGTGGTTCTATATCAACACAATACTCTGCAGTGCTGTACAACACAACAGAGTTGCAGATAAATACCAGTTGTGCCAGCAGCTATTCTATGATAATTCATGAAGCTAATATTTATTAATTTCTCAAACTTACGTTCTGCTATATTGGCCTTCAGGGTCTATTACTGAAACCACATTTCTGGAAGGTGCTCCTTTAGATAGTATATTTGTCCCTGTAAATACTGTGTAAACATTAGGACAAGCAGTTCAATTTACATTGTAATTCTTTGCACAATCCTATGTCTATTTAGACAGAAAGGGCTTGGCTGGTTGGAGAATGCTAGAAATAGCAGCACTTACTTCTGTCTAAACATACATAGGATTTCACTCCAGGAAATAAGAGCTTACTATCTGAACTAATATAATTATTGTTGCTTTTGTCAGTTGTGTCCAATACTTTGAATTTCTTTAACATTTTATAGATAGGGTATTTACAATGACAAATGTTTCTTTAACTTTTCTTATTTCAGAAACAATATGAATTTCCTTATGGGTTCTTGGTGGCCGAATCTGGAAGATTTGTATGAAGCCAATGTTCCAGTTTATAGGTTTATTCAGAGACCTGGAGATTTGGTGTGGATAAATGCTGGGACCGTTCATTGGGTTCAGGCTATTGGCTGGTGTAACAATATTGCATGGAATGTTGGCCCTCTTACAGGTATGATCATATATCTTATACTTTTGTTGTGTGCTTAGAAAATGCTAACCCTAAAATCCCAATTTTCAACAGATTAGGTATTTGCAAGATACGAAGGCAGACCGTGATACTGAAAGGGTAGATATTAGATCTTAGCAAGCATTTTGAAAAATTTTCAGAGGAAATGAAGCCTGTTCTGAGATTAACAACCAGCCTGTAAACAACAGCAATTTATATTGTATTTTCAAAATTAACAACTTGTAATAGAACAAATTTGGATTTATTTACATTGAAATATATACAGTATTTAAGGGTTTCTGTATGCAGTAGCATAGGCTGCATTCTGATTTACATCTGATCCTCCAAACCATAATTTGGAGGAACAAGAATAAGATGTATGTACTTATGCTCTCTCCTCCCTTTGACTCAATAGAGCACATCCTAATTAGTCAAATCATGGACTCCTAGTTTGAACCAGGCCCTACAAACCAAGGATGGAATGATGGTTAGCTATCCCAGACTGGTCTCCTCCCCCCTCCCCCCAATACAAATTGCCAGTTAGGACAGAAGAAAACAGCTTTGAAAACTGAAAAAGTATGCTATTAAGTTGAGTTCATGAGGAGAGGGGGGAGCGCACACAACTTTTCCCAGTCTTCCAAATCTTGGTTTGAGGAATGCGACAAATAAAATCATAAGCCTTACATTGTCAGTACATGAACCCAACTTTGGTAGGAATATGGTTCCTTTTTAAAAAGCCTCAACTTAAGGGGAAGGAAATTTAATTTTTCTGTTTATTCTCAGAATACCTGCTAGGATCTTCAGTATTTTCTCCTATATCTTTTTTTTTTTGGTATGGCGTGTGCAATTTAAAATGGTACTATGCTAATTTACTTGGTAAACTGCTAAACTGTTTTGTGTGCAATTAAGCTTTTCTTAACTGAGAAGAACTACATTTTAGATATTCTTAATAGCAACCTGGGTGCCCATATTTCCCTATGTTTTTCTTGTAGCCTGCCAATATAAACTGGCTGTGGAACGGTACGAGTGGAATAAATTGCAAAGTGTGAAGTCAATAGTACCTATGGTTCATCTTTCCTGGAACATTGCACGAAATATCAAAGTCTCAGATCCAAAGCTTTTTGAAATGATCAAGTAAGTCTATTGTAAAACTGTATACCATTTTTACTGTGCCTTGATTGTTGCAAGATACAGATTGTTGCAAGAGCAGAAACAAAGTTTCTGGCTTGAAATACTGACAAATATTGAGGATAGCTCAATCGCCACTGAAACATTTCCAGTGTTAATGTTGTTGCTGTTGTTTCTAAAGTGCAATACTCATGCTGAAAATACCAAATAGAAATGTCAGTTGTCCTTTATCACTATGACTCTACATCATTCAATTTGCAAATAAACTGCAAAGGCAACTAAAAAGAGTAAAGAGCAACTAAAAAGGCAACTAAACCTAGTATTCTGGCTAAGCATGCTACCCCTCAGTGGCTATGAGTGGCATTGCAATATAGAACAATCAACTGAACAGACTTCATTTTTCCATTTTATATCAAAAGACTAGAAACTACACAAGTGAATGATGGCCAGTTTTTGCTGCTTTCATTTGAGTTTTGTATATAAGTATCTATAACTAAGATACTTCTGACCTATGGATCAAATTGTCTGGGGCTAAACAAAGGCATATAAAATCCTGTGCCATTTGGAAGAGTCCATCTTGCAATATTTATCTCTTCTAATTAGTTGAACCTTCTTCCTTTTCTATTAAATTCCAATTAGAATTTAAAAGTGGATAGGGCCAGCCTGGCTGTAAAATGTGTAGAATAGTTGAAAAGCTTCTATTGACTCTTTTAAAGTATAAAAGGATGATGATCATGATGATAATGATTCTTGCTCCCTTTTCTCTCCTCCTTAGTTTGTTTTCCTGACTTCCAAGATTCTTGGGGAGAGAACAAAATTAGTTTTCTGTTATCAGTACTACCTTATAGTCAATTACTGTATATTTTTCATGTGGGGAAGTGATGTCCCCACCTGCCAAATCTATAACCTCATTTTGTAGCCTTTGGTAAAAGTGGAAGAACAGAAGTTATTATGGACATACCTATAATACCCAAGGTACAATTTAGTATCTGCACCCAACAGTAATATAATGTCCCTTGCTCACATTTCAGGATGTTAGTGAATAAATTAAATATGAATTGATACATTGTTTTGTGCGGTTACATTAGGTCACACTAATACTTGTAACACTGGTGAGTTAAAACAAAATAAAATGTTGCATTTGGAAGACAAGCCTTCTGAAAGACACTATAATTAAAGTGTAACCGAACATTATTATAAAAGAAATGAAGAGGACAAAGAGCAGATAATGGGATAGTATTCAAAGAAGGAGGAACTTAAAAGTGTGGAGGAAACCAAGTGAAATACAGAAATGGCAGACTAGAAATACAAGCTAACAACTGAGGTGTCAAGAAAAATAAGAGAGCTCTCATTTTGGTACATAGTTAGTAAATGCCTTAAATTAACTATAACAGGAAGATACAAGTTCTGATGCTTCTTTTGAAGGGAAAAGGGGAAAAAAACAGGATGCAAGCCTCTGCCAGGAGAACTGTACGGAGCAGGGTCCTAAGAAACCATTTCAGGCTCATGATTGACATCTTTCTTCACCATTCTTTGAAAAGGTCTTCCCATTCACTTTGGCGTACCTCTGTAGTGATGGTGTTTGTTTGAATGTGACAGGAACTGTGTATTGTCAGTTAAACCTTGCATCCAGATGTATTGCGTCAGCTCTGCATAGAGCAAATAATAGCCCCCAAATCCCAGTAATTCCAACCCTGTACTGCTTTTTAGTTTGAAACGAAGGGTGACTCTTTTGCTCTATTCCAAATTATTTTATACAAAGAACCAGGAAGACCATTTGAGACCTGCAAAGTATGTCTACTTCCCTTTCCCTGCATATTTGGAGTCTAAAAGAGTCATCTGTCCTCAGGGGAGTGAGGAACTTTGCTAAGCAGATATAATATCGGCATTTTTTGTAGTTTCGGAAAAAATGTGGTGTCTTACTCTATTGTCATGTATTATGAACTGTTGTAAACCACACAGAAAACTTTAGCTATTGTGTGGTATAGAAATAAAATGAATCATCATCATCAGCCTCAGAGGCCCTGTTTACAGCCCCCGACCCCTATTAAGGATAGATGAATTGATACTCACCACTGAAAAGTACTTATCTTTTGTGACTATCTATGGAATTCCTTCTCAGATGTTTTATATTTGGTATCTTCCTCATTTATTGCTTTAGGTAGGTTTAATGGCTTTTTATTTTATTCTGCTTTTAGGAAAAAAAAGATGAATTGGATTTGTAAGCTGTCATTGCTATCTGTTTTAAACTGTAATAAGGCTTTTATTAGTCTGGGCAAAAATAGTTGTATGTTGGTGTTTAAAGTTGAAGATTTTTAGATAATTTCATTTTGAAATATAGCATCTGAATTCCTAAATAAAATCAAAAGCTATATTTTGGGCAGGAAAGAATGAAAAGGACAGAAGAGGTAGTAATATAGAGATAAGCAGGAAATTATTGCACCTAAAGAAAATAGTAAACAATAATTTTCTGTTCCTGTTCCAGCAGAAAGATAAGGTAGGTGATGATGCTGGACATTCTCAGCTGAAGTTTCCAATCAAGTTCATCCTGCCTACTAGCCCCATCAGACTACATCATCAGTAACTTTGGTGTAAGAAAAGAATGGTTGAACCCTAGTACAGTATGCAAAGTCCTCTTTCTGTTTCAGTTAACTAAAATGAAAGTAACTGTTGACCATTTATTTAAAAATAAGCAAAACTTGGGAGTGGTGTCTCTGTTTAAAAAGGGCAGTATCCTATGTGGCATGAACACTGCATTGTAAATTATGTTATACTAGCATAGGAGAGCTCTAGTACAACATCAGGCAGCTATTGAGCAGCAGCATTATTTGAAGGTGGCACGGGTGGAGGATCTTTCACAGTCAGTGGGCAGTGATTCTCAAGCTATCTTTGGTTAGTGCTGCGCAGAAGAAAGATCCACTTCTGAGTTGCTTACCTTGAAAACTCTCTGATGAAACAATCCAAAATTAAACAAGAGATAGCATCAGAAGATGAGATCTGCAGGATGGGAAACACTTTATAAGCTACTGGGGAAGGGAGTGCAAATATTTGCAGCACTGTTGTTAATGACAGTAATATATCAAAACCAAAAGGAAATCTTAGTGATTGACACACAGGAAAAGGGAAGGCCTGATGGTATGCGGCACATGCAGTTGGGACATGGAATGTAAGAAGTATGAATCAAGGCAAACTGAAAGTTCTAAAACAAGAAATGGAAAGAAGGAACCTTGCAGTACTTGGTGTGAGTGAACTAGACATTTCTAAACAGACAAACACAAAGTGCTTTATGCCAGAAATGATAAACTCAGACGAAATGGAGTGGCTCTAATAACGAAGCAAGATATAACAGGTGGTAAAATGTTATAATGCAAAATCTGACCAAATAATATGAATCAGAATTAGTGGAAAACCTTTCAACGTAAGCACCATTCAGGGCTACGCCTCTGCAACAGATGCTGAAGAGGCAATAAGAACTTTGATTCAGATGTTCAAGAGTACATTGATAACAAACCAAAACGATATGTTACTAATCTTGGGTGACTGGCATGCAAGAGCAGGAAACAAAGCAGAATCAAATGTTGTAGGAAAATGTGACCTAGGGGTACAAAATGAAGCAGGAGAACAACTCCTAGAAAGTTGTGGAACCAAGAACCTCTTCATTGCAAACATACTCTTCAAGCAACTGCTCAGACAATTATATACATGGACTTCATAGAAATCAACTAGATTAACTCAGTGAAAGCAGAAGGTGGAAAAGCAGTATTCTTGCTGCCAAAAATAAGACCAGGAGCAGATAGCTGTAGTGGCCATCAGCTTCTAATTTCCAAAATCTTAGTCAAGCTGAAAGAGATCACCAGCAGAAAGAACCCTAAGAAAACAAAGCTCTTGGCCACAGAAAAATTATAGAACTTTAACTTCACTCTAATGAAGAGATTGAAATTGTGAAATATTTTACATACCTTGACTCGGTCATCAATTCAAAGACTTCAGCAAAGGAACTTGAAAAGATCACCAAATGTAAGGGTATTTTACTGGAGAACAAATTCAAGAAAACTGTTGTATTCCCAATGTATGGGTATGAAAACTTGACAGTGAAGAAAGCTGGAAGTGAAGAAAGCTCATGGGAAGAAAATTGATGTGTTCAAAACATGATGCTGGTAGAGAACTTTTCAAATACACTGGACCAACAGAAAGAGAAGTAGATCCTAGATCAAGTCAAGCCAGAGTGTTCCTTAGAAGCAAAAATGCCAAAATTGAGGCAGTCCTACTTCAAACACATCAGGAGAAGGCAAGACTCACTGGAGAAGACAATCATATTAGGAAATGTTGAAGGCAGAAGACTAAAGGGAAGACCAAACATGAGATGGATTGAATTCATAGCAGAAGCCACAGCCTTGTACTTGGAAAAAGTGGAATGGAGCAGCTACAACAACTAGGACTCTTTAGCTTAGAAAAAAAGTGAGTAAGGGGAGACATGGTAAAGGTGTTTAAAATAATGCATGGTGTGGGGAAAAAATGGACAGGAAAAGATTTTTCTCCCTCTCCCATAACACTCAAACCCCAGGGTTATCCCATGAAACTGATTGGTGGGAGATTTCAGACAAACAAAAGGAAGAACGTTCTCACACAGTGTATGGTTCGGATATAGAATCAACTGCCACAAGAATTGGTGATGGCCATCAATTTGGATGGCTTTAAAAGGAGATGAGCTAAAGTCCTAGAAGAGGAGGTTTTCCATGGCTACTAGCCTTATTGGCTGTGTGCTCCCTCTTTTACCAGAGGTGGCATGCCTGCACACACCAGTTGCTGACAAGCTTGGACAGACAGAGGTCTAATACTCATCCTGCTTGAGTGAAGCTGTGGTCAGCTGATTTGCCATCATGTATACAGAGTTCTGCACTAGATGGACTCTTCCTGTGTTCTGTTCTTGTGCTGTCATGAACAGGACATTTCAGAGTCCTTTCATTGATAGGGTCTCTCTAAGTCGGACATCACTTGATGGCACATAACAAGTACAACACTGATAGCATTAACTGGCATGTGCTGGAAGCCCCTCATAGTAGTGTAACATAATTTACATTGCGTTTTTTAATTGGAGGCAAAGTATCTTTTATCAGAGTATTATATTTAAACACTTTTCTTCTAATGGATCCAAGTTGAACATCACATTAGTCTTATCAAAATATTAAAATCATCCCTAAAATCATCTTTTGTACCAGAAAATAGCCAATGTAGCACCAATTTTTAAAAAGGGAATCCTGGGAAAATCGGGAATTATGGGCCAGTTAGTTTAATATCTGTTCTGAGTAAACTGTTTGAAAGCATTATCACAGATAGTAAGCACCTAGAGGGCAAAGCCCCACTGAAAAGGAATCAACATGGTTTACTCAAGGGGATGTCCTATCGAATGAACCTGTTGGAGTTCTTTGAGAGTAACAAGCATGTAGATGGGGCAATCCAGTGAACACTGTTTATTTGGACTTCCAAATGGCTTTTAACAAAGTCCCTCACAAAGGGCTCCTGCATAAACTAAGCGGTCATGAAATAAAATGGAACTGTCCTCTTATTGACCACTAACTGGTTATAGAACAGAAGACGGGAAGTGAGAATAAATGGCAATATCTCTGAGAGGGGTGTAACCAGTGGAGTCCCACAGGGTTCTGTATTAGGACCATTGCCATCAATCTATTCATAAACTATCTGAAAATAGAAGTTAACACTGAAGTAGTCAAGTTTGCTGATGACTCTAAAGCATTTTAGTGTAGTTAAAAGGGATTGTGAAGAGCGCTAGAAGGATCTCTCCAAGCTGGGAGGATGGGCATCAAAATGACAAATGCAATTCAATGTAAGCAAGTGTAGAATAATGTATGTGGGTCAAAAAATCCTTACTTCAAGTATATGCTGATGGGATCTGACCTAGCAGTAACTAAGCAAGAAAGGGATCTTGGGGCAGTGGTGGAAAACTTGATGAAATGTCAGCCCAGTCTGTAGCTGCTGTGAAAAATTCAAACTCCATTCTAGGCATAAGTAGAAATGTAATAGAAAATAGAACTGCCAAGATTATGCTCCCTGTATTCAACCTTTGTTGTGTCCACACTTAGAATATTTTGTTGTTCAGTTCTGGTCACTTTACCTGAAAAAGGCTATTATTGAGAAGAAGAACCAAAAAAAAAAAAAGATTAGAGGGCTGGAGCAGCTCCCCTATGAGGAGCAGCTACAACAACGGGGACTGTTTGGCTTAGAAAAAAAGGTGTGTAAGGGAGACATCGTAGAGGTGTTTAAAATAATGCATGGTATAGAGAAATTGGAGAGGGAGAGATTTTTCTCCCTCTTCCATAACACTCAAACCTGGGGTCATCCCATGAAGCGGATTGGTGGTAGGAGGTTTAGGACCATGTTGTGTTGTACTTCTTCTCACAACATATAGTTCAGCAATGGAATTAGCTGCCACAAGAAGTGCTGTTGGCCTCCAATTTGGATGGCTTTAAAAGAAGATTGGGCAGATTCATGTGAGAGGAGGTTATCTATTAGCCTTGCTGGCTGTGTGCCCCCTCTTTACTAGAGGGGGAATGCCTGCATAGAGCAGTTGCTGCTCTTCATTATCTGTGTACCTGCCACTCACACTTTTATAGCCATTCTGTCTCACCTGTTACCATCTTTCCTTTCTCCACACTTACTAGGGAGGGAAGTACAGCGACAACCGCAAGCATTTCTCCCCCTTCTGTTAGGGTGTCATTGGACTCAGGAGCTTAGGACTCCCATAGTTCTCCAGGGCTTCTGAGTCCAGTAATTCTGATTAACTTTGATAATCTGAAGGCAGTTTCCCATGTCATATTGCCCCAGGATACTGCTGTTGCAGCTCTTTTTTAGACAACCTAATGGAGGGAAGTAGAGAGAGAGAGTGTTGATGCTATACTAGGTAAGTAAGGTGGACACAAATGATATACAGGATGATATACAGAGCCAGTGTGGTGTAGTGGTTAAGAGCATGGGACTGGGACACAGGTGATCTGGGTTCGAGTCCCCACTCGGCCATGGAGCCAACTGGGTGACTTTGGGCCAGTCACAGACTCTCAGCCCAACCTACCTCACAGGGTTGTTGTGGGGATAAGATGGAGGAGGAGAATGATGTAAGCTGCCTTGAGCCCTTTGTAGGAAAAAGGCAGGATATAAATTGCAAAATAAATAAAATAAAATAAATATGAGATTGGAATATTGTTTGGTGACTGGTGGAAATGGGATCCCTCATCCACCCCCTTTCTGCAATTATTTTAAGCAAACCGCAGGTTGAAATTGAATTAAGCCAAACGTAGCTCACTTATCACTAGTTATTTATCCATTAGTTAAACATGCTTTCTTTAAGTGCATACTATTTTACTTCTACCTGCTCTGTACATTTTTGTATAATTGAGAAAGATAACTTTTTTGTGTAGTCACTGTGGTACCCAGCATGATCATTTGTATCTCACATGGTCAATTCTACCTCTCAGGCTAGCTTAACAAATTAATTAAAATACAACAAAACTCCAAATGACCAAATTCATGTAACATCATAACAATGAAGAAATGTTTTAACAATTCTAATTTGTGTTACAGGTATTGTCTGCTGAGAACTCTTAAGCAATGTCAAACTTTGAGGGAAGCTCTAATTGCTGCAGGAAAAGAGATTGTATGGCATGGGAGAACAAAGGAAGAGCCAGCTCATTACTGTAGCATATGTGAGGTTAGTAAAGATGTGCATGCGTGGATTAGTATTTTCTGATAGCATTTTTAAAAATCCAATTCTAAATGGTTCTGTAAAGAGCCCACCCATACACTGTTGGTACTCAAGTCTCCCCACCCCCACCCCCCACCATGTTCCCATCCTGTCTGTATAATATAGATGCCCTTCATTGGGCCTAAATACAGTTAATCATTGACCAGACTTGCATGATAACAGAAATAAGCCTCCGTGGATCTTCCCTCCCACTCCCACCCTCTGTAGCAAGGCTTGTTAGTTTGTGCAAATCCAACCAGAGTAGCTTGTTACTTGTGGCAAGCAGAACCCACAGGCTGTTGTAGGCACATGCAGCAGCTGGAGGGGGCATAAGCCACTGTTGCTTATTTTTGCTCTGTGATTGCACAAACTGTACTATTATGTTGGTGGCAGCATTAACCATGATTAGGACTTCCTAGGGTTTCTGCTTAAGCCATAAAGGCCTTGCTTGTGCATAATGGCAAATCACTGTGAGTGAATTTCCATATTAGGCTTGCAGTTTTGTATTTAAAATCAAACTGCAGTGAGAGCAGTTTATGACAAGCATAATGACTGCTTGTCATTATGTGGGAACCTGGCTAAGGTGGGTTACTGGTGTGGTTAACAAGCCACCCAGAGCCCAGGAAATGTTTTTGGGTTTGCAATAGTTTACAAACAACCTCCCTGGCTGAGTTTGAAGTAATGACAAGCTGTGGTGTACCTACCTACCTGCAGCTTGAGTGTATAAAAGTTACAGCAAGAATTTCCACAGGGAAATTTACCCATGGTGGCTTACATGCAAACTGGCCCAGTATCCAAAAACAGATGTGCATCGTAGGCCCACTGGGAATAATTCATTTGCCTGTGAGAAAGAAACATTAACCTTTTTTAAGCAATCAGCATTACATTTTCACTAGCTCATTTGTAGCCATATAAATATAATACATTCTTCCTATAGTTTCTTACATTTCTGAGATGTACCAATAACTGAGTTAATAATCTTTTCTTGGAATATAATGCAGGATGCCAAACATGGATGTGATATTTATTTGTATATTGTCCTTCATTGAATCAATTCGAGAACGATGAACAGCAAAGATGAAATACTGAAGTATACAATAAAATCATAACATTGCTAATAAAATGCAAACATAGTACATCCAACTGTATATGCCCAGTAAAATATGAAGATCTTAACCTGGCAAAGAAAGCAATGTAATGTAGGTGTGAGACGCAACTCTCCGTTGCCTTTCTGCTAAGCAAGGAGGCTTTACCAGCCAAGCACAGGCATCCTCCTCCTCCCATATCCTTTGCTGATGTGTAGCATATAGTATAAGAGAAGGCTTTTATAGTTCATTTTCTGTTCTTCACACATCTCAGAAAGTGCCAATATTTGATTCATGTTGTGAATGTACCACTGACTTCCATCTGCTGAGCTTCATTTAAGACCAAGCTCAGAACCATGCTGTCTTAATTGTGAAGGACATCCTTAGCTCACATGTGTCCCAGTAAAACAAACCTGCAGTATGCAGGCTTAGAAACCTTGAAGGTGATACCAGATACTACACTCAATGCCATTTTTACCAAATTTATTTGGTAGAATAAAATAAATGCTAAAAATCCCCAAATAGTAGGCATGTTGAAAAAACTTTGCACATGGAAAGCCATAGGATGGATTACAGGCCTCAACTCTTTTTGTTACAAAAGTTTCACCTCTATACGTTTTAGAACGATTGTATGGGTCCTTGGAGGATTGCTAAAGAATAGGCTGTCTATCTAGACTCCCATCTGTAGGATGCATTCTTCCAATAGAAGGCATCTAAGTCTCACACTCCAGTTTGCTGGGCGATAGACCCTTGTTAGATTTATTTTACTTCTGAAACAAAGGTGTGAGTTCCTGTGCTTCTGTTGTTTTGTTCTAGTCCCACTTATTCAGACATAGTAGTCTCCATATTATAGTTTCATTATATACATTTTAGACCTATTTAATGTGAATGTCCTGGTAGCATCTTCTCTTAAGAACAGAGGCAGTGACTAAATTTCACAATTGGTCTTAGGGTCAAGATTTGCTCAGCTCATTGCTCTGTCCATCTTCAGGAACAAAGAAAAATCCTTACACTTACCAGCAAAGTACTTTTCACGTCAGTTGTAAATGCTGTGCTGTGTTTTTTCTTATCTAGGGTTTAAAAAGTGATTCATCTTTAAGTCTTCTAAGAAGTACTGGATCTTGATAGCAACAAGTCCCTTTGCCTAGTGCCAAATCTTGTTGAAGGTCAAACATATAAAAAGCAAATACATGCTTTTAAAAATGTGATGCTTGTAGCATAAGCCATTTGGTGGCATGAAACAGATTAAAAGTTTAGTATTGGAAGGAGTGTTGCCCCAGAGGCTAAGAGAGATACACTATTTTATTCAAATAGTAATCTATGCTCTTTCCTCTCTCCCTGCGTTTACCTTCCAGCACATTTCCTAGCACTATTTCTGTATTTCAGTTTGCCTACCTGCCAATGTAGACTTCTTGCTGTATTTCTTGCATAATGCCAAATGTTAGACTAAGTTTTGCATGGGAGTTTTAGATATGCTAATTTTACATGCAACAACAACTTAGTTTTGTCTCCATTTTGTGTTCAATAGGTGGAGGTCTTCAATTTGCTTTATGTCACAAATGAGAGTAATTCTCGGAAAACTTACATTGTACATTGCCTAGACTGTGCACGAAAGATAAGTGGGAACCTGGAAAACTTTGTGGTGCTAGAACAGTACAAAATGGAGGAACTGATGCAAATCTATGACCAATTTACATTAGTAAGTGAAGTTGTTTTTATGAGGAAGAAATAAGTCGGTACATAAGAATATTTGGGCTAAATGGGTTGAGCTAGACTTGTGCAATTATATATTCTACTATTCAAGATTTTTAAGAATCTCCTTGTAGACAATAACTTTCTATACCAAATATAATAACTTCAGGCAAATGATAAATAGTTGTAAAGTATGTTATTTAATAAGTAAATCATATTTAGCTAGTATGGACTTATTGTATTTATTTACTACAAAGCAGCAGACTTCAGAGGAGATATAGCACATTAGCTTACTTGGTTACCTGGTTCCTGTATGTCCCTTCCCGCAAAGCAAGTGCATTCTTTCAGGGTCCAGCTGATGAGGAATTGGACAAGCTAAGCCAATGACTGTCATGGTGCCCATGACTCTGCTATCTACATCTTTTTCCCACTGTGATCTGTCCTTTGCGGTTGTGGAAATTTGTTAACTGCATGCACAACCCACCTTTCTCCAGGTTCAGATGACAGAATAAGTCATGGTGCCCACCTTCCACAGACTGAATATTCAAAATGGCCACCAGCATGCTTCATAAGCCATGGTGAGCTCCAGCAATTGTGTGACCTGGATCAGTGTGTGATTTTCACACTGGGATGCGGGTCTTCAAGGGAACTGAAGAATAAGGGCAAGCTGAAAATTGTCAATAAAAGTCTGAAAAATCCTGGCTTCGGGGTGGGGGAGTTGGGCGTTTAATTTCTTGTGATTAGATGCATTAAGAAAACACATACCAGAACACTGTTATATAATATAAGCCACAAATGAGTCACAAGATGCAAGTCAACACCAACATTTGTAGACTGGACACCAAGCATTTCTGAAGATGTATAAAATAATATTTTAAGGACACTGTGTTGTGTTTGCTCTTTTTTCAGGCACCTCCCTTGCCATCATCTTCATCTTGACATTTTTCCAAGGACATTTACATAAAAACTTTTCTGATATTCAGGAAGTGACCCAGTTCTGCACCACTGATTTTTGTAGCGATCCCATAGGCTGCTGGCTGAAAGCTGTGTCTATGCAACCTTCCAAGTGCGGAGTGTCAACCAACTGGACAGGAGAGAGCACAGCTCCTACTCCAGAATTTAAAATACAGAAAGCTCATTCAGCTGAATTTTAAAAATATATTCCACGTTTTGTATATATCTGACAAAACTGGCAACAATATACAGACTACTGACTTGAAGACCACCTCTTTTGTATTTCTCTGTTTCTGGGCTGATGAATTGGTTTCATCTATTTCCCCCACCCCCTCAGAGGTTTTTCTTGGAAAAGTACTAGCGTAGCTGGTCATTTCTTTGTAAGGTAGTTAGAATTTTAAGTCTTTCTTTGGGCTACACTTTTTTTTTTAATGTGAAAGGTTAGGTGATACTTTTTTTACTGCTTTTATGTTATTCTGTCTTGTTTTGAAACCATGATGGTTACTTTTTGTTTCCTAAATAAAATTTTAAAAAATTAACAGCCAAGTCACAAAGATAAATGGGTTGCACATAGACTAAAGAATAAACTTCAGATTTGTGATTTTGTTTCTAATCTTGATGTAAATTTACACTATTTATAAATACATATTTATTGCTTGAAAATATTTGTGAATGGAATGCTGTTATTTTTTCCAGATTACCTGCCATTGAAATTTTAAGGAGTTCTGTAATTTCAAACACTACTCCTATTACATTTTCTATATGTAAATAAAACTGCTTAGCATTGTACAGAAACTTTTATTAAAATTGTTTAATGTTTAAAGTTTTTGTATTGTTTGAGTTTTAAAAAGAATTTATGTACATTGCCCCGTTTTTGTTGACTTTTTTGAATCTGGTTATATATATTTTATATATACTCTTGTGCGTGTGTATATATATAATATATATAGAAAACTGAATATAAATATATGTATAAAGAGTTAGAGCCTAAATTTTTCTCGTTTTTAAGTTTTACATCTATGGTAGATTTGAGGTGTCTACTGTAAAGTATTGCTTACAAAAGTATGATTATTTTTTAAAAAATATATATGGTATGTATCCTCAAGATATGATATGTCCTTCAGACTGGTTTATTGTTAAATTGCACTTCTTGCAATTACAGACAAATAGCTGATGCCAAATTGTAATAGTAAGAAATAACTTAGCTAACAGCTTGAAAAAAACCACAACGATATCATTTCAATAGGTTTAAATTTAGGCACCTTGAAATTTAGTAAGGAATGATAAAGGAAATAGAGTTTTGATGAAAATGGTATCTTAGAACACAACCAAAACAAGATTTGTACATTCCAGCTTTTAGCAAGCGTATGGCTTTTCTTGGCATGCGTATGGCTGCATTGTCTTAAGTACAAATCATGCTATATTTCTGCTTATTTTGTAATTCAAATCACTGATAAATTTTTAAACCATTAGAGTCCTTTAGACCATTTTATTTGTTTGAAGTTTAAAGTTAATGATAGCATTTCATTTTATTAAGTTGCTCCCATACTTTTTCAACTGTTACATTGAAATGCATTAAATCAAAAATCCAAGATCTCAATTCATTTTAGTGGATTAGTTTACTGATTCATAAAGTTCTTTACTGAATGAACTGACAATTGTAACATAGGTGTGGTATTCTGTTTCATGTTGCTGAAACAAAGCATCAAGACCAGAAACTCACTGAAAACCAGAGTTAACATACATGAATACTTCAGATACAAAAATGCTAGTACCAGCCTAGAACATCAGGACCAACCCTGCACTCCACTCCACTCACTCCCAAGTATATCTCTTGGAACTATTTACTAATAAAATTAAATATTCACAGCAAGATTTCTTTTATGCTTTCCACTGGAGGAGGTAGGGCAGCTTGCTTCAGAACATCCAAGAGCAATACTACACTTTTGAGAGGGAAGAATTCTTAATGTTATAAGTACTTATTTTTTCAAAGCCAACAAAGGAATGATCTACAATGCTTGTGTAGCTGTTCTGCATATCATAAGGAAGAGAGCATTGTAATAGTACCTCAGCAACCAAATTCCCCACATGTAAACATCTTAGCCCTTCTTACATGTAGAGCTATCATGATACTGCCTTGATGCCATTTGACTTAAGTCCCAAGGGAGGATTTTCTAAAAAGTGAAGGTGGTCTTTGTAGATCCAGCATTTGATTCATCAGTGTAGTGACTGAAGGGCATTCTGACACTAAACTTGGACTAACTTTTTCTTTTATTGTCTATTGGTTTAGTATAATAGGAAGACAGTCCTTATTTCAATAATCTGGAAAATAGTTAATTTGAGGAATGACAGAATGGGGCAAATCCACCTTCTGAAAGCAATTTGTTAGATCTATGCAATACTCTGCAGAAAATTCTATGGATATAGGAACCATGAAGCACAGCCAGATTATGTGCTTCACCTCTGTACACATAAACTCAAAAGTACCTCTGAGACTGGTATTGGCAGTGATTTTTTTTAATTTCTTGCACATAATATTTGTTTGACCTGAAATACCAATAGTGTTGTCTGAAGCCCTATGCAGAAGATCAAGAATATCCAGTACTTTCATGTGAGTTGGCTATACCCAGGTATAGGTAACAAACCAAACAATCCATAGTTAATTGGGTCCATGCTGTTGTGAGCAAACACATAGTGTTCTGAACACAAGGTTGGTTGTTGGACTAAAAGTCTGGAATGCTTGCCCCTCAACCCAGGTACACATGCTGCATTAAACAACCCACAAATTGGGTTATTCAAGGATTGTTCGTGAAGTGGAAGTGGCAAACATGCAAGAAGTATGCTTGTTTACTCTTCTTACCATGGACTACTCTTCTTAGTTCTACCTTGCCATCCATCATCCCATAAATTGCTGTTATGTATCAAGCAAGATGTTGATATAGGATGGTTTCAGAACCCATAGGTAGATGCTCCTATAGTGATCCTGGCATCTACTGGTGTTATTCTGGTATATGCCAAAGATTAAGGTAATGATTGATGCAGTGTTTCTTCCTGGTCAAATCCTACTTTTAGTAGGAAGAAATGCTGTCTCAACCTTCTGATTATAGGGCTTTTTAAGGGAATCATATGCCAACATACCCCTTCATGGATCACTGCCTTGCTGTGGTGAAGGAGCTTGTGTAGCGCAATGAAGCTATGAGCTATACCATGTAGGAGCACCCAAGATGGTCAGGTCATAGCAGAGAGCTCTGGAGAAGGAAATGGAGCTCTCTGGAGAAGGAAATGGCAACCACTTCAGTATCCTTGCCATGAAAACCCCATGGACAGTACCAAAAGGCAATGTATGGCTGTGAAAGCTGGACCATAAGGAAGGCTGAAGAATTGAGGCCTTTGAATTATGGTGCTGGAGAAGACTGTGAGTCCTTTGGACAGCAAGGCGATCAAACCGGTCAGTCCTAGAGGAGATCAACCCTGACTGCTCTTTAGAAGGCCAGATTCTGAAGATGAAACTCAAATACTTTGGCCACCTAATGAGAAGGAACAACTCGCTGGAGAAGACCCTAATGCTGGGAACAATTGAAGGCAAAAGAAGGAGGGGATGGCAGAGGATGAGGTGGCTAGATAGAGTCACTGAAGCAGTCGGTGTGAGATTAGATAAACTCTGGGGGATGGTGGAGGACAGGAGAGCCTGGAGGAATGCTGTCCATGGGGTTGAGATGGGTTGGGCACGACTTCGTGAATAACATAATGCCAACATAGCCACAGGAAATGCCAAGGATTCCCCCTTGGCTTGTGAAGAGGAGAGAGGCAACTATTTTCTAAGGAACACTGAATGCAGGCTGACAATAGGAAATACTTCCTTATTTAATTGGATTAGTGTGTTCAACCAGAATAATTTTGGTGGTGGTTGCTTGCTTGATTGTACAGCCATTTCCTCTTCCAGAAGATGCAAAAGCACAATTCCCTCAGAAATATTTCATAGATTGCTGTTTTCCTTACTCTGTGCTACCACAAGCATCCATATTAGTGGTAAATTCAAAATGTGAACAGTACAGTACAGGTGCAAAATACATTTGAGGAGCTTTGCTTCCCCATCCTGCAGACAAAATTCCTGTAAGATAAGTTGATGGTAAGCGGTATGTAAAAAAATTAGCACAACTCTATGACAGACATTCTTTCTACAAGAGGTTTTAGGCTTAAATTAATTCATATTCATAAATGAAAGGCACAGTTTCCATGAGAGTAGCTACAAAAGATTCTGAAGAATCATTTAAAATTTCTTTTCACTTTGTTTTGTTCTTTGAGACACTTGCTACTGGTAAGATTTAGTTGTTCTGATGTTGCCAATTTTGCATTTATATTCAAATCAAGCAGCTGCAGTAAATGTGCCTGCTAGTTCCTGAGCTGAGGTCAATTATTGTTCTCAAAGCTATAAACTTGTTCATTGGTTGAAAAATAAATGATAGGCATTCAGTTTTCTCAGACCATACAAGAACAACTCATTAAGAACCTGTGGATTAGGGTGGGTATAGTTTTCCTTTAGTATGTCCTGGATTGAGGTAGCTAATAAAAAGGCTTTCTGGCTTGTGTTCATGAAATTGAAATATATCCTCTTTGAAGCTGTATCTTGCTTAGGTTCCTATGATACTAGTTCAGGAGAAATGTTTGTTACAGCATTAACCCTAAGAGGAAATAAAATTGTCCCCAGATTCATACTGTGTTTTGATTGATGCTCAATAGAAAGACAAGGGAGAGTATCTTCTTGAGAAATTGTATCTCAGAATTGCATCCACTAGAACTTGAGTTGGGAATCTGGGGGCTCAGGAATGGGACTTAGGTGCTCTGTTGAATCTCTGTGCCTTCCTACTGATATTCTGATGGATCTGTATAATGACTATGTCCATATGTACTCCTGCTTGCATCCTGTGGTTCCGGTTTCCATTTGCCATGTAGTTCTTAAGCTGTAGCTTGCCTGTATTACAGATGTTAGCATGTGGGATGGGAAACAGCAAGGGTCATAGCCCTGTGCTAAAACTCATGCTAGTGTCAGGATCAGGACCTGAGTGACCCTACAAGTGCCTGCAGAACCAGGAGCACCTTTGCAGGTTTTTGCAGGGAGCAACTGAAGAGCAATGATGCAGTGCAGTGCTGAAGATCAGCATAAAAGGCTTTCCGGCACTGCTGGTCTTTGCCGCAGCAACGCAAGTCATCTTCAGGACTCTCTTGTGCTCTGGTCTCTGCATCAGCATGCCTTGAACCTTGTTTCGGTTCGATCCTGCGTACCCTAGTCCGCCTTTGCCCTGTTCCCATGTGTTCCTCATCGTGGTCTCTGTGCATCACACATCATGGGTGTTGCGCCTGCACAGTGCCTGTACCCTGGCAGAAAGCAGCTCTGAAGTTTCACAAGTAAATCCCAGCGTTCCTGTTCGTCATGTTAACCAGAGAGAGACAGAGGCCGAGGCAGATGCCTAATCCTGGAAGCTAAGCGAGGCCAAGCCTGGGCAAAATCTGGATGGACAACTTAATGTTGTGAACTGCTCAGAGAGCTTCAGCTATGGGCAGAGTAGAAATGCAAATTTTCTTTTATTTATGTATTTCATTCAACTTCCATGTTGCCCCATAATCCAAAGGTCCCCTGGGCAGCTTAAAATGCTGAAAACAGCATATAAATACAATCAATAAAACTGATTAAAAACACAATAAAATTAGTAAATTATAAACCATCTCACATTAGAAAAATATAAAAATAAATAAAATATTTCAATGTTACTCATATGATGATGTATTTATAATATATCATGTATATTATATGATACATTTATTTCATCAGGTGTATTTTATTTTTATGCATCATCATCATCATACAAATAATTTAAGTCAGTCCCCCTGTGACTAACAGAAGATGGATAAAACTATGAATGACTACCAAGTGGTAAAACATTTACGCACTTTGGTAAGCTTCAGAAATGATGCTGTGGACAACGAGCCCCCCTTCAGTTGCACCACTAAGGTATAGAGAACACTCAGGCTGGGGGAGCAGTGTGTGTGAGGAGGTGGAAGACTGCTTCCCTCAGAAGTCGTGGATCATACAAGCAGCGCTGAGAGAATTTTAGGACATGATGTTGCTGATGTTTAGAATGCATATGCCACTTCTTACACAGTAAACTGTGCCTCACCCTGAAGATCAAAATATGTAATATTTGAAACAAAAGTTGTTGCAAAACATTTCAATAAATTCAAATAAGTAAAAATAACAGTTCAGTAAACACAGGATACATTCATAGCACACTAACATATATTTAGACTTTAAAAATCACTAATACAGAGCAAAACATAGTTTTACTGTATATCCTCCCTTACAGAAAAAAGCTATGGTCACATGGAGATAAACTGCTGCAGTGGTCATATTTTATATGACCTATATGATACCATTCAGGTTTTAGCAATTTGTGACTTCAAAGATGCTCTTGTGAGGTTAAAGGCAGTTTGGTTCATCTTCAATAAAATTAATTTATTTAATGGTATTGACTTCTAAAATGGAAAGTGTATCATTCCTTTAACCCTGTTCATTCTTATTCTTGTTTTTAGTCAATCATATATTTTCTGAACCCACGGGAAGCCCAAGCTAAAGGGAAGAAGGAGAGGGGACTAAGTACTACAGATCCCAGGGACAGAAGTCAAATGAGCAGGGAGTTGCTATCACTAACTTTGATAGTAGTGATCAAAGATCTGCAGTGCTCCTCAAAGCAAGCATCCACCTTGCTGGCAGGGCTTTTTACATGATAAAAGAGAAGTGCTTAGAGTTATGAATCAGTCTCTGGCAGGAAGAAGGGTGGACTCACAACTCTAAGCTAGCCTGCTATCCTTAGAAGGATGCTTTGTGCCATGAAGACTCTCAAGCTAACATTCAACTAGAATCTGATAAGCTACAGTACATGGAAAGGAGGAGGGGCAGGAGGCTCTCAGGCCTGTGGCTCAGGCTTAAGGATAGCTCTGAGGCAAGGTAATGACTCCATTCTAAGGTGAGGACAGGTAACTTGAAATAAGATTTCCAGCTCCTTTTTTTTTTTTTTTTTACACCATTGTCTCTTATGTCTAAGCCTGTAGCATCAAAGTGACTGAAAGTGCAGGTGGCAACTGATTTTGTTACTGTGCTGAATTTCTCTGAGGGAGTGTAGCACTATATAATAACTGAAGAAACCTTATCAGAGGAAAGAGGACTGCACAGAACAATCTCCCAGAAACCAGAGTCGGCTATTTCAATTATTTTTTGAAAGGACTGGTGATTATGAATGGTAGCAAATGGAAAAGGGAATTCATTTTAGATCCTATGAAAAATGTTGTCGTCATAAATTTGTGAGGGGGGACGTGTTTTATTCTATCCACAGCTGTGATGAACTTGAAAGCAATACATCTGCGATAATAACTTTCATTGTAGTAAAAATAATCTGAATAAGACAAATCCCTGTTCCTTATACAAAAAGATGTGGTTGTGGCTAAAATCTAGTGCAGTGAAGGGGGAAAAAGGTAAGCTCCATGCCAGAACATCCCCAGTTAAATTTAATCTCACTGTGAATCTATTCTTAGAATTAACAGTCACTATTAGTTAAACGCAGTGTATAGAAGGGAAAATAACTGATTAAAAGCCTTAACAAATGTATGTAATGAAGGTAAGGAATTGTGGTGCTGGTTTTGTCTTCATTTTTGACTACTTCCTTTGTTTTACTTGTAGGAAGAAGATGCCAGGTAATATTAAGTTTAAAGCTTGCTGTTGATTCCTGTCTCAACTTTGATTTGACAAAATTTATTCTGTAACATTAAGTTCCCTCAACCTTCCATCTGTGGTATGGAAATAACACTAGCCTGCCCTTTAGGGTTGGGAGGTCCCATGGGCAGGAGAGTGCTGATCCAGATGACACTTCTTATGTTCTTATGGTTGCTGCAATACAGCAATACTTTGAACACTCTATAAATGCTACACATCATAGGAAGTTGCCCCATACCCTTGCTCAGTCTAGCTAAGTGAGGAACCATCAAAAACCCTCCAGGGGCTCAGAGTCATTTCAGCCCTCCTGGGGATACTGTGGATTCTGCAATATGAGCTCCACGTAACTTTTGCCTTTCCTGCTTTTCCACTGGATAACCTCTAGGTGGTATAGTACTAATAGAAGAATATTGGAAAATACTTTTCTTTCAGGTTCAGAAATAAAACTCAATTTTCTGCCCTACAGGGGGCCAGGGGAGAAAAGCCCTCAGAATGTCTAATAAAACATTAGCAAAACTGGAAGTCAGCATAAAAGTCACCCTGCAAATAGCCCTTCTATTTTCATAACCCATGCCTTCTGTGCTCTTCCATAATTTGTACCTCTTCTTAGCACAGCAAACATGTTTTTTGATAAGGTCAGTAACTTGAGTAAGGCCCTCCTTTAAGCTCTCATGCTCTTTAATTGCCACACTAGGGAAGTTTAGGAAAGATCCTCAGCACTTCCTGACAGGACCCCGAGGGTATGGAGTGGGCTTCCATGGGAGGTGGTTGAGGCCCCATCGGTGAGGGTTTTCAAAGGTAGGCTGGACATGCCATGGTGGGCATGTCGTGAGCGGAGCCAGCTGGAGCCAGGGGTCAGACTAGATGGCCCGGGAGGCACCTTCTGACTCGCTCTGTTTCTATGTTTCTATTTACATCCTGGTGCCCTTAGAAGTGTTGGACCACAACACTACACCTGGGTGGGATTCCAGGAGTTGTGGTGCAACACATCAGGCTGTGGAGCATAAGCCCCCTGAGCTAAAGTCTGTTTCTGATCCCCTCTCACCCAGTGAGGGTAAGGGCATCATTTTATCAGGATCAAACCATTACAATCACTGTGCTGCTCCTTTCCCCTCTTTCTGGAAGAGCACGTGTCCACCAAATCTCCTTCCTACTTCTTTTGTGGCTGGCAAAGCCTTTCAGTTAATCCTCTTTCTCCACAGTGATAGGTGTGAAAGGATGATTTGAAACAAGGGAGTAGAAAGATTTAAAAAGGTAACAAAGAAAATTACTTAGAGGGGTTAAAATCAGATAGCACAAAGTGTGGGGAAAGTAGGCATGTAGGCAGGAGGGCCAAATACTTCCTGATAGTTTATTGACAAGCTTGGCAGAACAAAATGAGCCTATTGGAGCCCACTGGGGCAGGGCTGGATTGGGAAGAAGGGCTGGTGTTGGAGCAGTGTGGAGTAGGCGGGCGGAAAGATTGTAAACTCCCGGTACCCCAGCCAATGAGGGGAAAGAAGCGGCCGGGAGCAGGGTTCAAAAAGGGGATGTGGACATGTGCTCATGTGAACAGGAAAATGGGAAGGAAACCATTTTTTTCTGTTCCCTTCATTGCAATAAAGTTTTAAAAAGGACTCTCTGCATGCTTGGAATATTTTTCTCTTTCAATGGAAAGGAAAGAATGATCATAACAGCAGGATCCAGGATCAGTTGCCCATGGGAACAAGTGAAATTGCTTTGGATAGAAAGCTGAAATGGAGAGCAGCATGATTTCCTGCACCTGATGTAAAAAGATGAAATGGAGGCCTCTGGATGGTGAGGGCCAAGTGTGCTTCTGGTAGCAGTTACTGATCTCAAGAAATCAGCCCAAAAGGAAATAAGAGGAATACACAGGTTAAGGTGAGAAAGCTGGGGCTGTTCATGCCTGTTTCAAGTTTCTACTAGAATTGGAGGTAAAGGAAAAGTGACCTGCAGCAGGGCAGGTTCCGAGGTGTCCAAATGATCCCATAACCTGCAAGGAGTTAACAAAGTTGTGTGGAATTTATCAAAGAATTGCTGTCTAAGCCGTTTCCTAAAGAGGGAATGATCCATGTGGCAACCATCTCAGCGTGTGTTAGGAAAGTTTCTTGAAGGCTCTCTTTGCAGAGCAGACTCTTCAACAACCAGCTTGTACGGTATATGTTTCTTGCTGTGTGTGTGTGTGTGTGTGTGTGTGTGTGTTTAGTGTTTGGCACTGTATTTGCAATCTGGGTAGCGGTAGGCAAAATCAGAATCACAGGTCTGCAGAGGTTTCAAAATCCCTTCCAGCACCTGAGCTGCCTTGATAACCTCTTGGTTGGTGAGAGAACTGTTTGCACAGATCTTCAGAGCACCGTCAATCTTCTCCTGCACAGAAGGCAGAAACTTTTCCTTCAAGAGCTTAGACAGAAGTTCCTCACAGACCATGATGAGGCTCTGAGTATACCTGACGGAATTACAGGAAGGCAAGACAGATTGGCAATCTGCAGCCAAGCAGCTAAATATGTCCTTATATTTCTCCTGTTGATCCATCATCTGGCTCCCTAACAAAAAAGTAATGTAAAAGTTTGATTATGCACTTTTTCATTCATTTACTTATTACACTTTTAGACCGCCTGAATAACAGAAGTTCTCCAGATAGTGTACAGGTAAACATAAAAACATAAAATACAGTAGAACCATGATAATAAAACAGCATATAACAAAAGCAGGATAAAATCCCAGCAAAAATAAAACAATGAAACACAAAAAGAAATCTTCAAGAAATTATCTCAGAGTCAGGAATGAGCAATTACTGGGAATGAACACTGCTCAGTCAGCAGACTCAGGTTCCACCCAGATGAGGGGTGGGAACCAAGGGGAGTTGGAGGTCTTTTCCCTTTCTGTACCGGTGCTGTGAGCACCTTTCCCACCACGTAGCTTGACACAAGCATCGCAGGAGACTGCAGCGATGCACAATTGTTAGGGTGTAGTCTTTCCTAAGCAGAGGAAAGACCCGGTGCAGGCAGCAAGACAGGTGCAAGACAGACACCCCAATCTTCAGGCTGGAGCTTAATGTAGGTCCATGCTCGCTAGACTGTTTTTTCTGTTTGTCATTTGCCACTGCATTGTCACTTGAGACTGCTTGTTGCCTTGGCCTCTGAAACTGATCAGTCGTTTCTCTTCTGTACTTTTGCCTGAATCCCTAATGATCTTTTGCCCTGTTTATACCAAAACCCAGACTGAGTGCTTTGGGGACGAAAGGAGAGGGGCTCACAAGGGCAGATAGCATGGTAACGGTCACACTAATACTGATCTAACAACATGGCTACACATCACATTCCGAGCAATGCCTGTAACCTAAGCTGTGCTCCTCTAAGGACACAAGAGGGCTGCCATGAACCCCAGTACAAGAGACCCCACTGGGATCCTTGGCTACTCATTCCCACGGGAGTGAGAGTGCTTGGGGACTGTGGAGACTGGGCTTATTTTACTCTCAGTGGTGGCAGCTGGTACTGCTCGGCACGGCTACCTCACCTGTAGCTGGGATGTCTACAAGAGCCAGCCCGCTATAGCTTTACCCTGCAGGCTGTGCCTGCCAAGACCTCTACTTTTTATACCTACCCACCCCCCCGCCAAAATAAAAAAAAAAAAAAAGGATTTTTCCTATATAAACAATGCCTCTTGCATAAGGAAAGTCAGCATGTCTGAGGGAAAGGTTCTGTTCCAACCCATTCCTGGGAATGCTACCTTTGCACATGGAGGAATTTCTGGAACGACCAAACATGTGACTCTGCAAAGGGATAGCCTTGTGAGGACTTTTCTGTATACAACATTTCTCAGTGTTGGCACCGAGAACCCAGGATCTGGTTTATCTTTCGAAAAGAAATGGAAACCTATCAAATGGCAAGGGGAAAGTGAGGCCCTCCCAATGCACTGCCGCTTCCCAAATACCTCACTCTCTTGCTATAAAAAATATTGTGAAAAGGAGCATCACCAGTCACCCCCTTGTGAAAACTGTTTCAGCCTGTTGCCTTTCCAATTACTTTTGGCCGGTGGGAGTTCCTTAGAGAACCACATCCAGTGGTTTGCGTCTACAATTCCCATTAGCTGTCGTCAATGGAGAAGGATAATGGGAGACATAAGCCAAAGTATCTGGAGAGCCACATCCCTGTTATAAATGTTGAAATATAAATTCAGATGTTGCTGCTGCTGCTGTTATTGTCATTAACCAAAAGCCCTGACTTTGCTTCAAGTGGGTATGTTTACAATGTGTACATTCCCATTGTAATGCTGCTAACAGTTTTCTGCTTACATATCTCCATACAGAGATATCTTCACACCTGTGCACTTACAGATTTTTCCCTTAAGCTTAGTTGTGTGCTCTAACCTCACAATCACACAGAATCTGACAGCTCTGTATTTGTGTACATATTGCCACTAATTGCTACTTCTGAAACTTTTAATTAACCTATCTACCATCAAATGACTAAAGCTAAGGAACAGGTGAATCTAATCTAATTTTCACCTGCCTTGTTTTCTCCTGTGGCAGATGCTTATTCAGAGATGAAGCAGTGTACCTGTGTCCTCTTTGTCAATGACTCCCAGGGTACTGGCATCTCGAATAAACAGATGTCCATCACTGAAAACACCAAATGTGTCAGCATCCACATGGATAAAGTAGAAGAAATAGTTCAGGTCATTATTCCTCATGGACTCCATAATAGAGAGAAGCTGAAGAGCGAGGTCTGCTGCTACACCAGGAGATACACCATAAAATTCCTTCAAAGGTCTGGTGCTAGTTGTGATAATCAGCCGACCGCAGGACCCCAGGTATTTAGGAAATGGCCACCCTTCTGCTCCAGGAAAAATCTGCCAAAGGGGACATACAAAATGGGTCTGATGACATGGAACTGCTTACACAAATAGTTGAATGCAGATACATCCACTTAAAAAAAAGATCCTTCAGTCTTAACACCACTCTTCCCCTGCCTGCTCAGATGCAGATCCGCAGAGATCAATGAGGTTTACTTCTACAAAAGCAGGCATTAGATCGCATCCCTAACCTAGTCATAATCCTCTTGACTCAGTTTCAGCAAACAGTAGACAACTGCTAGTTGCTGCACTTATTATTATTAAATAATCCCACCTTTTATAGCCCACCTTTTTTCCCTGTGTGAGGAATTCAAGGCAGCTTACATAGTTCTCCTCTACTCCATGTTATTCTCACAACAACAATCAGATGAGGAAGGTTAAGCTGAGGGTGAGTAACAGACCCAAAGCCAACCAATGAGTCACCCTTCTTGGCTGCATGGCCCAGCAGAAACTACAGTTTCTGGCTCCCCATTTCAATGCTCTACCTACAACTCCACATTAGTTCTCAATGCATATATGTGGGAATGTACATGAAAGGCGAAGACCTTTTTATTCAAGTGTCATTTTAATTGTTAATGTTATTTTTATTTTAAAGATTTTTGGCCCGGGTGACTTATTTTATACAGTTACGTGTATTTTATATTGCTATTTATGTATTTTAATTTATTTATTTGTAAGCCGCCCCGAGGCTTCGGCGAATGGGGTGGCCTAGAAATTTTCTAAATAAATAAATAAATCTCCTGAAGAAGGAGCTGCATTTCCAAAACACATTGAACAGAATAAATGTTTTGGGCACACAGAGAATCTCTTTTCTCTTGTTTTTATGGCAATTCTATATCACATGTATAGCCAAAGTTATTCTTGCTAGCATGTTCTCCCACATGCACTTCTAACAAAATACTTTTTCTATCTTATTAATAACTAGCTCTTATCTCATGGAAGAAGTTCCTTCAGAAAGAACTGTATAAGAAGATATCTTACATTTTTATTAAACTAATGTCTTAGACTTATACATCCTACATTTTTATTCATTATTATATGCTGTTCCCCCCACCCCTGCCCAAGTTCTGTATTGAGATGTTTGGGCACTTAATTGGGTTAAAAGAAAAGAAAAGAAAGAAATTATTTTACTTTCGCATATCTATCTACTTAGAATTTGAAGGTCGAAGTTAATTAATGATCAAGTCAAGGTAAAAGTTGTGCATATAATTTTGCTTACACTATTTTCTAATTTAGTAGGCTCAGAAAAATTATCTCTTAGGTCTAATAACATTTGCTGCAAGGCTGTCAAAATGGATGAAAGTACAATTATATCTCTGCTAGATACACAAATGTATCTCGCCCACATTTTGTCCACATTCATGTGATATTCCTTAGTTTTCGGCACAAAACTTGCCTGCATTCTGAAAAAGATATTCTCAGATATCTGCTGTAACTGCCTTGTTGCTTTTTGCAATATTCACAAAGAGTAAGCAAGAAGGATTGGGTAGATCAGTATCAGTACTTTCATATTAAAAGAACCTCTTTCTCCTGTAAGAACCTGCCCATGGGTTCAGCTCATCAGCTGAGACAGATAAAAGTGCGCATCCAACTAGACTGGCTGTTGGTAACACAAAACTCAGCCTTACATTCCTTTTATAGGAGATCCATACTAGCTGGTCATAAGTTGCATTTCTTTTTAATGGAGTTCCATTTGTGGTGAACTATTATTGCCATATAGGCTCTATCTTGGTAATAATTCACTTCTTTTGGATGTATAAATCCTGGCATCTCTACTTGCTACAGGTGACTTATTTTGGGACGGGCTTCCACTTGGAATACCAAAGTCCCAGATATGCCAAGCACATATCTTTGGTTTGGCTTACTGTCTGTCAAATAGTGCCAGAAATTTGCATGGAATGCCACTAAGCACCCATTCAGTATACTAACGGGATCTCAAATCACTTTCACACTCAGCTTTGAAATGCTTCTGCTTTGTTCCTTCTTTGTTCCTCCTGCTGTGAGAGTCCTCTCACACCTCTTTTTAGCCTGTGCTGACCTGTTCTCTCTGTTCCTTAATGGCTTTAGTAGCAGCACCCATATGAATTGGCTTGTGCACAGCTTTGCCACCTAGCTCCTTCATGGATTTGGCATTAGCCAATTCAAAGTGCTTAGCTTGCTATGCACACATTCAGTCTGTACCATACAGTAGGTATGTATCTGTAAATTGGGAGGGTGGATTATATAAGCCCATAGTCTAACTGTTTGAGTTGCACTTCTCTTACAACTTTTCTTGTGTGTGCATGTGTGTGTATGTGCACACACACACACAGAGGTCACTTAATGTTTTACAGATAACAATAGCCCTGCTGCCATTTGTCAGTTGAACTCCCATCAAGTTAGTCAAAGCATATTATGTTATGTTATGTTAGTTGCGAAGTCGTGCCTGACCCATCGCGACCCCATGGACAACATTCCTCCAGGCCCTCCTGTCCTCCACCATCCCCCAGAGTCCACTCAAGCTCACACCAACTGCTTCAGTGACCCCTTCTAGCCACCTCATTCTCTGCCATCCCCTTCTTCTTTTGCCATCTATTGTTCCCAGCATTAGGCTCTTCTCCAGGGAGTCCTTTCTTCTCATTAGGTGGCCAAAGTAGTCAAAGCATAGTATGCACTGATTCTGGTTTTACAGAACTATTGGCCAAGTATCTTGCTTTCCAGAGAAATGAGTTAAGGGTAGGAATGGTTCTGTTCCTGCTGAAGAATCACTTCACAAGGGGCCACTAAAGTTGTTCCTCCTCTTAACCATCTGGCACCTGCTTCCTGTTCCAGTCTGGACAGCAGCAGGCGTGAGAAAGAGGAGTGAAAGAGACCTGGCTATGCATCTGTCAAGAAGCAAGTAGGAGCAAGTACTCCTGCAGCCCTCTGCAACCCACAGTGAAGATGAAGCTTCTGCAACCTCTCTTCAACCAATGTGTATTCTTGCTGCCTTTGGTCAAATGACTTGAAACGGGATCTCAGAATGAAGGATTTCACTGACAACTGATGAATGTATACCTGTAACATGATGGGATGTGTATTAACTGACAGCGTGTAGAGGAGTCGCAGCTTATCCCGGTCTGTGAAATGGTCCATGTAGATGCTACCGGCATCTGACACTTCTGCATATCGCCGCACTATTCGGTCCAACAGCCGTTGTGATGGGCAATAGAGCAGTGGTGTACGCAGGCCCTGAAGGAAAGAAAGAGGGGAAAGGGGAGCTCTTAGACTGTGGGTGCGCTGCGTATGTTCACTTTGCATGCTTAAGCCCTGAGCTTGAAAATGAATACAGCTGTCCTCATTCAACAGAGCAACTGAAGAAGCAAGTACAGGATAGAATTTGTGGATAAATGTTCTATTTATTGCTACATTTTATTTTTAAATTTAAATGACAGTTGAGAAGTATTTATGAAAGAAACATGCAAGTGTTTAATGGAAACAGAAATATGGTAAATAATTCATGATAGTAATAATGGGAGGAATTTTGGCAGAATTTGCACTATTGGGTAGTATGTCTGAGCATTTGTCAAGGCCCCAGGGCTGACAAAGAGCCTATTGTCCCAATATTGCTACCATTCTTGCTTTGCATGAGCCATCCAAAAAAGTAAGCTATGCGCTGATGTACAGTAGTTGCCTTCTCTGGTTCTAAGTCAGAATGACCGATGGCTCTTCACATGCAAACCTGCCCTGACATGGCCTTAACAGCAGTCTTTCTTGAGTGTCCCTCAGCCCCCATACACACTGTCAATACCCCAATCTCCCCCGCAGAAATTCCAATATGGACAGCACCAGAGAGGAAAGCACAGTCTGTATGCTGATCACTGGGATTGCTAGGCGAGGGACAGCAGTGCGAAAATCTCCCCGAAGATCCTTATACGTAACTCCTGTTGCCCACTAGGCAACCTTAAAAAAAGACACACATAGGAAGTGGAAGGAAGGCCAGGCTACAAAAGAAGAGTACAGGCAAGGAGCACAAAATTCAGGAATGAGATCAGGAAGGCTAAAGCTGAGAATCAACTTAGCAAGGGGTGCTAAAACCAACAACAACAAAAAATCCCCCCAGGTACATGCACAGTAAAAGGCAGAAGGGAAAAATGTGTTTCAATTTTTCAATGTGGAGGACAAGTCTGCTAACAGATCCCCCTCCCCTCTACACCTGAAAGGTCCAAGAGCTCAATTCCTACTGTGGCTCAGTCTTTTCCCACACCAGCTGGCCAAAAAAAAAAAAGTACAAACTGAAGTAATGGGATTGAAGCTTCAGATTAATAAACAAATGGTCCAGGAATACCTAATTTCTCTGAATGCGTTCAAATGTCCAGGGCCTGATGAACTGCATCTAGAGTAATAAAGGAACTGGCCAAGGAGCTCTCTTATCTTTGAGAAATCATGGAGGATGGGTAAAGTGACAAATGGCTGGAGGAGCACTAATGCCCCTATCTTCAAAAAGTGCAGCTGGGAACTACTGATCACTAGCTTGACCTCAGTCCCCAGAAAAATTCTAGAGCAGATAATAAAGAAAGCAACCTGTAAGCACCTGAAGACAATGAAGTAATTACTAGAAGCCAACATGTGTTTACCAAGAACAAATCTTGCCAGGTGATTTGTTGTTGTTGACTGTAGGAATGCTGTGAACATAATACTTTTTGACTTCAGTAAAACTTTCAACAAAGTGCTCCATGACATTCTGATCAGCAAACTACCTAAAGCTGGGCTAGATGGAGCAACTATCAACTGGATCTGCAGTTGGCCACAGAATTGGACTTAACAAGCCTCATCAGTGGCACCTTCTCAAACAGGGGAGAGGTAACAATTGGGAAACCATAGGGCTCAGTTCTGGGACTACTGCTCTTGAACATTTTTATTAATGATTTGGATGAGGAGATGCAAGAAGTACTGATCAGACTTGCAGATGACACAAGTTTGGTGTGGGATAGCTAATACCCCAAAGACAGTGATCTTGCTAGGCGGCAGCACTGGGCTAAAAGGGACGGCATGAAATTCAATAGCAAGAAAAGCCAAGTTGCACACGTAGGCAAGGGGAACTAAATGGACAGTTACAGGATGGTGGTTACCTGGCTCAACAACACTACAAGTGAGAACATCCTTGGAATTGTTGCAGAGCCCAAGCTGAATATGAGCCTGCCCCCCCACCCCCCTCCCCAATGCAAAAGAGCAAATGCTATTGTGGGCCATAGTAATAGAATATAGCTTCCAATTGTGCGAGGTTCTGGTTCCCCCTAGCTAGGCCCCATCTTGAGTCCTGCATCCGGTTCTGGATACCACGCTTGGAGTCACCTCTCTAATGTGCCCTTTGAAGTGGCTGCTCATAGGTGTCAAAAAAGCCACCTGGGTCTCCAGAAGGGAAGTGTAAAGGAGAACAAGGCATGACAAACCCAAACTGCCTCATGATGGCAGTGGGGAGCGGGAACAGCTCATTAATCCCACTGTCCTTGGGATACCCACTGGAGGATCAAGAGATGAAGGGCCAACAATCCACACCGGGGCCAATAGATGGTCTGACTCACAGTGGGTTGTTCACATGGTAACAAACCTACCCTGGCTTCTTATCAGGATGTGCTAAGCATGATGCATGAATTAGGGGTGTGACAATCTTCTCCAAAATCCAGCCCTCTTCTCTCTCGGACTGCTGCTTGGGCTTGGCCCTCATTTAGGAAGCAAGCTGAGCTGAGACAAAATCTGCAAATGCTCACAGAACTCTGCTTCCACAACCAGCAAACTTCTTCCACAGCAAGTGGAGCAGACACCAAGGCTGCAAGTCACACGCGTGGAAGAGGGTCGCCATCTGCACGCCATTTGTGCAGGCTCACTTCCTGGCGGGTGCCCATAGGAACACTCCGCTCGCTTGCCAGGAAGTCGGGCTCATGGCCACGAGAAAGCAGGCCAGAGTCTGGGGAGTCAAGCCCAGGGAACCCAGTGGGTTCCCACCTCCAAGATACATTCCTCTCACATCCCTTGACATGACTGCACCCAGAAACTTTAGGACCCACTATTGTTTGTGGCTAGTATTAAACTTTTGGCTTGGCATGAGAAACTACATATAAAACTAATCTAATTTTTGTAGAAAGATGTTATTCCTAAGTATTGATTTTGGGACAAAAAATAATCTGTTGGAAGTGATGACTCCTGGAAATTTAAATGCATGCAGCTTGAGGGCACAGATGTGTTTTTTGTTTTTTAACACAGGCCACTTGATTCCATCATGAGTTGCATAGACGCTCAGAGATAAAATCTAGGTTGTCTCCGGGGCCAGAAAGGCTTTCAGTGCTGGAACATTTGTAGTTTGTAATGAAGATTTTCATTGTGACAGATGAAATAATCATTGTGGCAGCCCACTCAATTGATAGATGAGTTAGGCAGGGCAGGCAGCGTAAAGTGAAAAACATTATTTCATGGTCTGTCATTTTGATTCAAGTATGTTAAGGTTTGTCATAATTCTTTGCACTATAAAAGAAAATTACTTGAGCCCAAGCACTTTTGTCAGGTCTCCTCTATATCCAAAACTGCACAGGAGAAGCAGCAGCTATCAAGGAAGTACAACTGCCTTGATGTGGAAATGGGAGTTAGCATTTTAAGAATGGCACTCTATGAAATGCACTATTTGCAGTTGCCTGGTTGTCAGTGAGAGAGGATTACCAGGTCAGAGAATGCCTACTTTCTGTTGTGGGTAATAAACCAAGGGAACAGTGATTTACAGCTTGATTCTGGGAATATTATGACTTTGAATTGACATAAGAACATAGTAAGAGCTATGCTGGATCAGAGCAAGAGTCCATCTAGCCTGGCATTCTGCTCCCACAGTGAACAACCTGCTCTCCACAGGAAATCCACAAGCAGGACACTATTGCAAGAGCGTCTTCCTGTCCCTGTTCTCCAGCACCTAGTGTACATAGGCTTACTTGTTTTACTGTGGGAGGTAACATACAGCCATCAGGCTCTGTACACATTAATAATCTTGTTGTTATATGCAGTCAAGTCTTCTCCAACTTATGGCAGCTCTATGAATAAGGTGCTCTCCAAAATGTCCTTCATAGCTGTGCCTCCCCCTCCTTTATTTTTGTCTCCAACTTTCCCTGGCATTGTTGGCTTCTCCAGCAAGTCCCGCCTTCTCATGATGCGCTCGAAGCAGGCATGGGAAAGGAATCAGTTTCGGGGTTGGGGATCTGTCAGATTCCCTGGGCTCAGCTCCCTGGACTTCACAGCAGTGCCACAGTCCAAGTTCCTGGTCAGCACTTCCAGCATTCGTGGGGCACGTGCAGCAGCAGTGCCCCTCTTCCATGCCCAGTGCTGCTGCCAGCAGCTGACTGGGTGGGGGAGAAGGTGGGCTACTGGGAATGGCTCCTGATGCAGCCCCTCACGGCACCCTTCCCCCGCTTCCTACAGTCCTTCTTTGAGTGGCTCCCCTGACCAGAAAGGTAGCCAGTTGTACACATTGGGATCCAAGGGAGTTTATGGACTTCCTCTTGGCGTGGCTTGCTTTGCAGGACAGAACTGGGCCAAGCACAAGAGGAAGTCCACAGATGCTAGAGGAATGGATTCCAAATGGGCTTGTCCAACCTCTAGCCCAAAATACAACCGTTTCATTTTTGCTGTTTTTGCTTCCAGGGAAATTTCTGGCTTGATTTGCTCTAGGACCCACTTGTTCATCTTTCTGTTGGTTCAGGGCAATTCCAAAGCCCTCTTCCAGCACCATGTTTTAGATTCCATCAATTTTCTTCTGGTTAGCTTTCTTTACTGTCCAGTTTTCCTACTTGTACATAGTGAGTGTGAATGTAATAGTGCAGATGATCTTGCTCTTCGTCTCCAGAGTAAGATACGGGAGTCAGAAGGGGCCTCCTGGCCATCTAGTCTGACCCCTGGCTCCAGCTGACTCTGCTCACGACATGCCCACCATGTGCATGTCCAACCTATCCTTGAACATCCTCACCAATGGGGCCTCAACCACCTCCCATGGAAGCCCATTGCATACATTGTCTCATTCAATCCCAAATGTCTCTTTTTGAAGGTTGAATGAATAATCTGAAGCATTTAACAGATTCTGGAAAAGACACTATTTGATACTGTTAAATTGTGAGTTACTGCAAAAAGGAAAGGAAAGGAAAGGAAAGGAAAGGAAAGGAAAGGAAAGGAAAGGAGGGGGTTCTCAAGCACTCCCTCACTTACTTACATGTAAT